TGCATTTAAAAAAAATGACCCGGCCTAAAAGAAAGGTCAAAGCATCCCCAAACTCAAACATGTATCCTATGGGAACCATGAATAGACGCATTAAAATGTGATGGAAATCTGGCAGCTGCCCATGAAATCTCATGTTTGAGGTTTTACCAGATGGCGGTGCTAGAAAGAAGCTTATAGAAAGTGTTCATCCTCTGGTGAGCATGAACATGCTGAGTTAATTTCATGACGATCTGCCCTGTAAATTTCCTGTAAACCTGAAACCTTGGTTGATCCTCATCCTTCACAAATGTTGACAGCGTTTTTTTTTAGAAATCTAGCTATTTCTTTTCTTGATGCCTTGTCATGAAACAAACTTTGTCATGGTAAAGATTTTGGCCTGATGGTGCCACTCGTCTTAAGAATGATGGAGAAGCAAAAAATGTTTTACCTCAGGATATCACTACCAACTAAGAGTTTTGTATTTAAAATGGATCTTCCCTTGGAGAGCAGGGCTCTATGTGCAAGAAGAAACTGGCTCACATGTGTCCTCTGGGAATCATGAATAACCACAATAACAGTTAATGGATATCTGGATCTTTTACAATTTATCTTCAAATATTACCCGGTGGCGGTGCCAGAGGAAAGGTCACAAACTCTGAGGCAACTTTTGGGGAAATCCAACCATTAAATTTTTAAACACCTTGTCATGAAAGTTAAGGTCCATTATAAGTTGACAGGCTGCACCTCCTTAGGTCGGTTAGAGTCTCTAGGATTCAAATATTCTGTTCATTTTGTGCTAACCATAAGCGCATAGATATGATTTATTAATATCTACCAGCATCGTGTACCAGTGGAGTGTGGTGACTGCCTACCTTTTCAGTGTGCTTTCTATTATTTCATATTAAAGAGTTAAAGCACATTTTTCCCAATTTTCCTTTTAGAGAGGTTTATGGGCGCCAGTGAAAAAAAGGCCTATTAAACTAAACCATTAGGCCTAGAGGCCTTGAAGCTTCACAGAGCAGTTTTTGACTAGATGTATTAGTATTGTGGAGCATTGATCTTGTATGAAGTATAACCTGCTGGTAGATATGTAATATGATTTTTTACTGGCTAGGACTGAAAAACACTAAAAAATACCAAGTACGAGCTGGTGTAGTTTAGGCTGGGTTGTAGTCACATGCAAAACAAGCACATTTTCAGAAACTAGAATATGTTACCTTTCAAATGAGGTCTCATAAATGCATAAATTTTGACCTTGCAGTTCTTCTGTTATAAGCTTATTATATTAACATATGCTAATGGCTGCTAATTAGGTTTAAAACAGGTAGGCTCTAAGAGGATAACAAATATTGCTTTAAGGAGCATGAATGTTAACAACAAAGTTGACAGCAGTAACTGTTTAGCAGAAGTTGGTATTGTGATATTGTGCTGTGGGACAGTACATCACCACACTCCGGCCCTGTCATAAAAGAGGCTATTAAGAAGGAATGGTTTTGATTGTTGGCTCTCCATCCATGGTGTGACTTTCACGGCCAGCACTTCAAGGGACGTCCCAGATGAGATGGATGGTCGAGATGTTGTTGTAGAGCTGGAAAACCTCCAGGAAAGAGTTAAACTGTCAATAAAATGTTTGCCATTAAAATCCAAACCCTGATCACACTCTACCCTCTGTGTACATTAGACTGCTTCAGGCTCAGACTCCCAGTCAGAGTAGCCCTGTCTCCATATCTGCTGTATGAAAGGTTGTGACGGCAGAGATCTGGCCTCCCTCTTCATGTTTACATTCTCCAGACACAGGGGAGGATGATGAGAGAAAGAGGGAAAGAAGGAAGCAGAGAGAGAGAGAGAGAATTACTTACAGCTGCGGCACTACAACCCAAAGTCGTCCATGACTGAGGGCTTCTGGGCATGGACACAACATATTATGGCTAACATTAGGGTTTAGAGTACTCTTTATGAGGGGCGTTTGTGTGTATTGTGTATGGATGAGTGAGGGGCAGATAAAGGAGACTTGCATAACATGTTTATGGCCTGCTGTCTTCACCTTGCTTTTGTTTCTGTCCACTCAAACAAAACATTTACAAGCGATGAATGTTCTTATAAACAGCTAGTGTAGAGGGATTAAAGGGATGTGGTGCGTTTCTGTGCGTAAGTGTTTCAGCCTGATAGCGATAGTCCTGGAAACTGATTGTGTGCCATGAGCCAAGTAAAGAAAAACTCTCAGAAAGTGCAAGAGCTTGGCATGGCTCAAAAGCCAAGGTCTCCTGGGGAGCCAGTCATCATCGTGGTGTTCTGTGAATAAGAAAAACATGCCCGGTGGAGCTGTAATGAGGTCACTTATCAGCGAGGGCATTTGGAGGGTGCGCCTCACTTCCTCTCAGCATCCCTCCATCTGTCAGGGAGAGGACAAATGACCTCAGAAACTACTGCCAATAATGTCATGTGGCGTCAGACTGTATGACAGGCTTCAAGTTGAATGCCGGAGCAGACAGGCCAAACTTTCTGACATACAGCCTTTAATAGAAGAATGAACCAGGTCAGATTTTTTTTTTCCTTTTCTTCTGACTGTTTTTAACTCAACCATATTTTGGAAAACTATAAATTGATTATTGTTGTTTTGCCTAAACAGCCAGACTACAGCACAAAAGAAACCGCCGAAAAACAGCTCGCACATTGTAAAAAGACAAGTTAAAGATGCGGTATAAACCCAGAGCAAGCCACCTAATGTGTTTGTGTGATGAGAAAATACATCATTCCAGTCTGACAACAATCTCAGTGTGTGTGTGTGTGTGTGTGTGTGTGTGTGTGTGTGTGTGTAGGGGGTAAACAAGAAAGAGAATAACTGATCACTTCAGAGCAACCACAACAGTGCTACAGAGTTCATGAGAGGAATTTGTAAATCACACAGGGTAATTACTTCACAAATAATGGGGGTTAAACTGCGGTGGGAAAACAACAACTGTTTCTTTCCTCCAAACCACATGAAAAGGATTCCACTATTACAACGTTAAGCGCTGCTGATCATAAAGCCTCTTTGAATCCCAAAGAGCAAAATGGGTCCAGCTGAAAACGTGAAAAAACATAGGACTGTGCCATTTGTTGGTCTGGTTAATACTAAAAATATACTCAGCATGCAGCCTCTATCACTTTCAATTACACTTGAATGTACTGTATCTTTGAGAAAATCTTTCACCGCTGACGGTTTAATGTAGTGGGTCAGAACTGGTTCACAAAGATAAACATTATGTCAAGCCTTTGGCACTGGATGTCAACATTTGTTGAACAGAGAAAGCAATACTCTGTGAATTGAAGGCGCTGCCATGTTTGGTAGCAGAGAAGTCTTTACACCTCCATTCAGTCATGTAGATCAAACACGCTCCATGTTTGGCTTTGGAGAGAGGAAGACACAGAAAGAGCTGTAAATTATGTACTCAGGGGATGGTAACAAGTTAGCATAACACAAAAATACCTACCAAAGGTTACACACAGCCTCCAGGTTTAGTATAATACCCAATTATAACACTGGAGACAGTTATTTAGGAGTTAAAACACGAGAAAACTGCAACACAATATTGCATCACTCCTGGGAAGGTCATATCGAGACATCCTAGTGGCTCCGCGAGGCATAGCTTTGAGCTAAATGCTCATAATTACGAAGCTAACAGGTTGATGTTTAGTATTTACAGCATGTTCACCATCTTAGTTTAGTGTGTTGGTATGGTAACACTGGCACTACACACAAAATACAACTGAGGTTGATAACACATCATTAGTTTTGCAGATACTTGTTAATGAACCATACTAAATGAAATGATGACCTGGTGTTGGCACTAAGGCCATTTATTTTTTACAAATGGTCTTCGGTGGGACGTTTCTGTGGAATTTCATATAATTTCACTCATAACTGCAAATCAGCCTCATGGCGCTGGCAGAGGAAAAGTCAGGGGCTCACCAAAGCTTTACACTGTCAGGGAGCCATGAATATGTGCACACATTTCTGACAACCTCTGAAGTAGAAGTTGAGCTGCTGGTGGTGAGATATATGAGATATCAGGGGATCACCAAAGTCATTACCAGGGTTCTCTGGGGAAGACGGAGGGATAGCTGTACCCAATTTAATGCAATCCATTCAGTAGCTGCTCAGAAACTTCACTAAAAAACAAAAATGTCGGCCTTATAGTGTGCCAGAGGAAAAAGCAAGGGAATACAAAAGTAAGTAGACTTCATCCTTTGGGGACTGTTAATGAATTTTATAACAATCCATCCAATAGTTGTTGAGACATTTCAGATTGGACCAAACTGGTGGACTGGACCACACTGCCATCTCTAGAGCCAGATAACATGGCTAAAAAAACCCCCAACTAACCTCTACCACAGAGCACACATTTTCTGTAGGGTGTAGTCTTGTGCCCAATTAAGACACTGGAAGCAGTCATTTAGTAGTAGTCATAACAAAAAGCAGCTGCTACACAATAGTTTCACCCCCTGGCGTGGTCATAAAAACAAAACACATTTTGCAGCTTATTAAACTTATCAACTCTAATCTCCCTCTGGGCAATGCGCCTGATCCACAGTGAAATCAGTCAGATTAGGATGCCGTGTGAACACACTGGCCCACTGTGGATGGTCTATGCTGTATATACATCATGGCATATTTACATTTTGTCAAGACAAAGCAGCATAAAAGGATAATACAAAACAGATTAAAGGCAGATTATGTTGCTTCTAAGAATTCTCATATGTGAATGTACTCTGCCACTCTGGCATGGTTTCGGTGTGGAGTCTATATTATTCCTGAGGGCCATTGGGGAGAAGGGTTCAAGCCTGGAATGTACACTATTTCCCCACAGGAAGTTGAGCATGGAAGTCTACCATTGCCCCACGCCCAGATCTCCACATCACATCACACACACAGTCAGTCGGCTACTGAATTATAGAACATAAGTCAGAGATACTTGTTCTGTCATGTATGGCACAAAGAATAAAATAAACATCACAATAAACTCCACAGTACACTGCTCTTGATCTTTTGTGTTTTATTAAAGTCACTTTATCTTTGATACATCTTACACTTTTATTGTACAAAATTTCACATGACATTACAAAAATATTGAAAGGCATTTTTAATAAAAAATTGTACTGAAGCTGTCTACTATGAGAGCTTTGTTTCTCTTTTTCTTTACTTTTTTTTTTATAAAACTCAATATTCACAAGTTGTCAACTTTACTGGATGACATCTGCCAAGCTTTGCCTTAAAGCAGCACGTTTTACATTTACACAGGTCTCGACACAAAGTCATAGTGGGTGTTTCTTCAAAAGACACACTGTATGTATACACAATACAGTATTGTACAATGTATGATAGCATGCAGAGTTTTCTGATGCACTATATAGTAATTTTCAAGACATGTATGAAAAGAGAACAGGACTAGTTTCCCTATAAACGTCAGATCAAAGTTTGTCTCAGTGACTTGAGACTGAATTAGGATGCATCTTTCAGTCAGTGGTTTTAAGTATTAATATTATTATTATTATTGCTAAGAAAGTTAATTACATCAATATCATGCAAACATTAGCATGATTATTACTTTAAAATTCAATGTAATGATTTTCGTCTATTATTATAATACACAGCCTCATTGCCAGCCCTGTTGTGTAACTTTACAAGACTTTATGAGATATTAAGCAGTTACAATGTGCCAAAAATAATATGTTGTTTCTTTCACTGTTTTTGCTATATTGTGCTTTGGTACTGAAAAGCTACTATACCTAACCACTGCTCTTGTCCCTGTCTTGCTTTTAAGTATATAAATGTCTGTATAGCATACAGTATATCACAGGATTGTTCAGTGATGTGAATAATCACTTTGATTAGTAACAGTAAAATATGTGTACTGTATATGATGCTTTTTTCCACAGTGTTCCAGTCTCAAGTTACATGTGTCTGTTGGAGCAGGTGCCTGTTCTCTGGCTGGAGAGAGGCACACTTGTAGGCTATAAACACTGAAATATATAGACATGACATTAAACACACTGGCGCACACACACAGAAAGGCCTCACCCAAACACACACACACACACACACACACACACACAGAGACATACACATGAGCATATGCAAGGGACACACCCGACGCTCACACACTCTCACACACTCTGACCTAACACTTGTGGGCACTCGTCTGGTACATATAACAGACAGTCATTTCATTAAATGGCTCAGTGGGGGCTCGTCCTAGCCAGCAGAAAGAGGCCCACATCCAACACATACGCCCTCACTGTACTTTCCACCTACTGTAACTCATGTGCACCTTCTAAGGAACACTACATTATGGACGTAATAAAAGCTTACAAAGCTTTCCAAAAGCTTCACTTCAGGATCATTCAAGTGGTGACAAACAGTACTGAGTTTAGCTAAAATAGTGCTATATTTCACGCATACATACAAATGCTTATGTTTGTAATAAAACCAAACTCAAACAATATCCTTCCTGAAATCAAGGAATTTGTTGTTTTTTTTCCTTCTCCTCATGATTTTTTTGCATTAGTCACACAGTGAGCGAGTGGCAGAAATATGAGTATAGCTCCCATGCTGGATACAGCTGAGGGAAGAAGGCACAAAAGCTACACAGAGCTTTGTTTACAGCTGCCATTTCTCAGTTTTGTTTCATTTCAGACTTTAGTCCATGGAAAGGCCTTGACAGAGGAGAATCTACAAGGAAGATCTCTTTCACAAAAGGAGAAGAGGGACAAACATCCCTGGTTCTCTCTTTTTTCCACATTGGGATGTGAGACCGAGGAAAGAGATGAAACTTTCCATTGAGAAAGCATAACTTGCTTGACTGTTCTTGCGTAGCCTCCTCTCGTCCGTCGAGATGTTCAAGATTCCATATTTGTCTGTGTTATCCAGATTGTTAGAGTTCATTTTATCCAGTATTGACCAGTGGCTATAGTAGTGATTTGAATGGCACAGGTCAGGGTTATATACAATCAGTTTGCAGTCTTCTCTATGCCATGATGAGATGGTTGCTTCGCTCTCTGATGTCTGCAGGAGGAACAAGGTCTTTCTTTACTGGAGTTGGCAGTAAGGTAGAACGTCTTCCTTTGGGCTTGAACAAGTCTGACACAAAGAAAACCTGTGGAAGGGAAAGAAAGAAAACCATCCTTCAACATCTTAATCATCATACTTCCCTCGTCTCCCTTTTTGTCCCGACAGTTTTTTGTTAGTGATTTCACTCCCTTTTCTTTACAGATACACAATGGAGTTCCTCAAGGTTCGGTACTAGGCCCCCTTCTGTTTTCCATTCACATGCAGCCTTTCTTCATTATAATTTGTAAACACAGTCACACGTTTTATTGTTATGCTAACCACAGCCAATTGTATGTACCTGTTTACCTGTACCATTCAAATAGCTGATGTGAAAATGTTAATTCAGAAACTTTATCAGTTGAATCAAGACAAATCTACTTTCTTCTCTGTCTGTGAAGAATCTTACAACCTGTTGTTGGGAGAGGACTACATAAATGAAGGCATGATTATTATCATTATTTAACTTGGAAGCAAAAAATAACTTAAAACTAACTAAATAACCAAAATTAGATTCATTTGTAAGGACCCTCAAATTCTTAAATCTAATCTGATATAGTACTATTACAAAAATAAAACATTATGGAACTACTCACTATACAGTAAGCCACCAGGGCTCCCTGTACAAAGCCCGCCAGGACATCAGTCGGGTGGTGCTTGTGATCAGAGACACGGGACAAGCCGGTGTAGAAAGACATCATGATGAGGGTGAACTGGGTCAGAGGGCGCAGCAGGCGGGCTCCATGCCAAGTGAAGCGAGACTGCAGATAGAACTGGTAAAGAGACAGAATTGTGGGTTTATATACTGTCTATTCAGGGCACATGTGTGTATACATGTTAAAAACAATTCAGTAACTCACCACCAGATAAAGCATGGTGTACATTGAGAATGATGCATGTCCAGAGAAGAAAGACTTCCTGAAAGACACAGGACAATCAGAATTTTACTTCACCTAATAATCTGTGAACAATACATTTTAAATTATATGCTTTTAAATCTGTTACAATACCTGGCCTCTTGAACTTTGCTCTCTGGCCCCTGACACTGGTAGTCAGTGATGTAGCCCAGGGAGCAGTTGATAGTGGAGAAGTCAGGTTTGCACACATCAATGAAGTGTGGGCGCATGCGGCCAACTGACACTTTGGCAATGTCAGTGAAGGACTGACTGATGGCACAACCAAAGACGAACACTCCAACCTGCTTGTAGAGAGCAGAAATGTAGGGGTTCCCTACAAAAGACTTGGATCCTTCGTTCAGAAAGTAGATCCTGTAGCTTTCTCCAATGATGATCTGAGGGAACAGAAGAGACGGTAAAGTCAGTGAAAATCATAACTGTGACTGTGTCCAAGTCCCATCTTCCTCTCCTCGGTACTTATTTTCAATCTCCTGAGTGTTCAGTGAAACTGTGTGAGTGCAGGAGGGCCAAAATACTTTATGAGGAATGGCACAGCACTTTCAAACATGGACAGAGGAACTTCTTTTGCTAGTGAAGTGCAGTGCTCATATTTCACATGTAATTTAACATACAACTGTTTGTTACTCATTATTTGACTACTTCCCTGTCATTCCCTCTTTAATGTCAGAACATAGCTAATTGTGAATGCAAGTTTTGCTTGAGGTAATTTCCTTCAAGTAAAGACTGCAGCATTACTGGATTAAAAGTGTTCATGAACAAACCCTCAAACAAGAAGGATAGCATTAAGCTCTTGTGGACTAATTGGAAATGTGCATCAAAGTCTGTGGAGATGGGCATTTGGAACAAGGACAGACTGAGCTCTGACATACAGGTTTCAAATATAAGTTGTATATATGTGTGTGTATATATATATATAAATATATATATGACTGAAATAACTTTTTTTCAGGATCAAAATGATGAGAGCTAAAAAGGAATGCTGTGATTTCCTCTGAAGTGGTTTGAAAAAGGCTGCTTTATAGTTAAACGTGTTTACCTGTGCAATTCTACTTCTCAGAGAAAACAGTGAGGCAACGTGGGAGGCAACTCAAACTGTCCGCCATGTATAGTTTTATGTAAGTGTGTAAATAAACCACCGTCTAAAACCGACGATTGACGGGTAAGGCGCACTTAGGAGGAGGTGGATAGCCATAACTCGCAACAGCTGTTCAAGCTCAAATGAGCCTTCCCTACCCCCCCCCATTCTCCCCTGTTGTCTTCCAGCCACTCACAAATGAAAGTAGTGAAGAGGAGTGATAAAGGGAGAAAATGGAGGGATGAAAGCAACAGTGAGCAGTGAGCAATGAGAGGAAGGGAAGATAGAAAGCATAGAGAGTCTGATAAAAAGGACAAGAGGAGTGTGAACAAAGAGGAGAAAGGGGAAGGAAGAGGAAGGTGAGAGGAGGAATGAAGGCTGGAGTGGGAGGTGGAGGAGGGAGCGAGTGGGGGAGGCACCGCTGGTTCTAATCAGCAGAAACGCTGAGCTAGGCAACGTGTCTGATTTTGGTGGCCAGACTCCACCAGGCGTACGTCGGGGGCGCGTTTGTTTTTCACTGCTCAGGCTGTCTCTCTGAAATGTCTCCGATTTCACAAGGGATGTCTGGCTGTTTTCATGTTAGTATCTTGGTTTCATCAGACATTCTTGTGAGGGGCGCAGGAATAAGTCTCATTCTTGGAAAACACTCTCTGCAGAGGGATAGCCCTTAAGGAGATTTAACAAGCTGATAGAGTATGTTGTTTCCACCATCCAGGCCTTTAGAGCCAGCTCAACACAGGCCAGCTGCTTTCATGGGAGAGAGGGAAGGGGGAGAAAACAGATCTGGTTCCCCTTGTGTGAAAGATTTTACGATGTGAACGAATAAATGAATTGGCATTGTAGGATATGTTGCTGTTAGACTGAAACCTCAGAGATAATCATGGAGGCTAGATGCTGATTTGTGGCCTATGTCAAAAGTCTTGTATTTCCAAAATGACACCATGGTGTTTTCGTGTCTTCTAAAAAAGATCTGTATAAATTATAAAGGATGTGGCCTCTTGCGTTTCTCAGCTTTATACAGGGGGAAATGAAGCACTGCATGACCTAATGTTGTTGTTTTCTGGTTCAGAAAACACAAAGCTTGGCAGAACGCTCTAGGGGGGAGACGGATTACAAAGTCACGTTTTGCCAGGGGAAAATGAGATATCTGGCAAAGTCTTCTTGTTTGGGGCCTTCACCACAATTCCACCCCACCAATTACAGTATTTAACCGAACAACCATTGCGTCAACCATAATTACACGGGCCAGGGCTCCTTCTCACCATGAAAACCCCTGTGGCCCCAAGCCCGTAGAGTAGTCTGCTCTCCAGGAGGAGGGAGAGCTGATGGAGAAGCCATGCCATGAGGCAAGGCACAATTCCAACAAGGATCTGCCAGGTGACAACCTCACATGCTATGGCAGTGCTGAGTAACACCACAGAGCAACTAGGAAATTTCTGAAGGATTTAAGTGTGAACGCTGCATGGTTTATGTCCCCAGAATCTATTTGCTAGTCCACTGCTAGCACATTCCCGATAACTGGCAATTATCAATGTCTTAGCTAATGTGTTAGCACCTGTTTAGGATGAGGCAATGCTAAATGTTAATCCATGGATTAACAGTTTCTAAGGTGCTCACTTAAGTGTCACTAGTTAGTTACTATTGCGTTTGTGATAGCCTGTTGGTTGCTAAGGGTGCTTCCTACACGGTTGCTATGGCTTTCGGGGTGATTTCTAGACGTTTTGAAGGTGGTCGCTATTGGTTGCTAAGTTGTTGTAAGACTGCTGCAGTAATATTGCAGTTTTTCTCCTTTTCTTTTCTTTTGTGTTCTGTGTATTGGGAGTAGATATAGCTGGGTTTGGTGATTGAAATCATGGGTTCATAGGGTTCTGTTATGTTTTGCTATACTAATTTAATAGAGATGCACAGGGATTGCTCTTATACTTTTTCTTGTCTACACTGGGTGCAGCACCTCGTCAGCAGCACAACAGAAGCTGCAGTCCTCCATCAGTGTCTACACTGGATGTATTGAGCCACAGGATTGCTGAGTGTTCAGAAGTGTTTTGACAGACCTTACAGGCGAAAAAACAATCTTGCACAAGGGGGTAAAGTCGCAGTTATCTCCGAAAAAATCGGAGTGGAGTATGAGCCGTTACGAAGCCGGTGTAGACAGATGCATAGGTCAAAATCGAAGTATATCTGAAAACCACGGCAGAAAAATGTGTAGTGTAAGATGGGTTGTTTAGCTTTCACCTCTGAGCACTGGCATATGGAGAAAAAATATTTTGAATTACCAGATGCTGGGATAAGGTTGGGGTTTAGTGCAGATTTTGGACACATCCTCACTGTTTTCTCTCAGGAGATTTGAGACAGAGAAACAATTCAACACCTCACTTTCTCAAGTACCTTTATCAGCCGAGTCATCTTAAGCCCCTGAAGAGAAAGCCTTGAACAAATGCTGTTGACTGGTTGTTATCTAGCATGTGCTGAAGCCAATCAGAGAAGCTGATAGCACAGGTATGGAGAGGTGTGGAGAGGTGTTGTTTCAGTAATCATGTAGGATAATCTCTGTTTATACCCACAGTGAGTCAACTGTCAGATAAATCCCTCTGATGGAGCACGCACAAGTGTATTTCATTGAAGGCGAGTGCAGTGGGAATGTACATGGTTTGTTTGGAGAAAAATATGAACACATGTTGCACCTGTAATTGATTGAACGAATCTCTAAATCATTAAAAATCATATAATTGTGAAATATATTCCTTGTTGGAAATGTTACATTGATCATATACAAATTAGAACCCCTATTGGAGACAATGAGAACTACTAGAATGGACTGTGCACTCAGGATGAGAAACGATGTGGTCAACATCTAGTTTAAGTCAGTCAGTGTCAGTGCGTGCTGCTAGTAATGGGGAAGGTTGCTGAAACACAAGAAGTGATGATGGCATTAGTGATCAAAGTGAGGTGACTTACAGAGAGGATGGTGATAAGAATGCCAGCAGCACTAAGCACACCGTCGCTAATGGTGTCTCCATTTTTGGCCGGGTACTTGATGGACTCATCATCGCAGTAAAACCCCCTACGGTAAGGCTGAACAGCACTGGTCTCAATGACCAAGAAAGGCAGGCCGGCTAGTGTGAAGAAGCAGTGAACGGCACAGAGAGAAAGAAAGGGGGTGGGGGTGGGTGAGGGAGGGAGAGAGAGAGAGATGGAGGCGCTGGGTTAATGATACGCAAATTACAGAGGTCGCAGGTACGAGCAAGAGGTAACAAGGGAACATGTGGGACTGGCTCAATTCATTCTGTGGCTGTTATCTATGACTAATGAAGAAATAATGACCCCAGCTTTGCTCAATATTCAGTATTAATGGAGCTTTGTGAACACATCTTTGGATGTATTGAAGGACCATACCTGTGCTTTTTTTTGTATGTTTCAGCCTGTTAACTACTAATCATGTATACTTTACTTTACTGCTGACCATCTTCCAAAGCATGCCATATATTTTAATACCAATCTCTGTCTCTTCAGGCTGCATTGGTTTCCATTAGTTTAACTTCAGGATGACAATGAAGTGGCAGACATTTGTAAGTAAAAGGAGCCGACAGCCAGTCAGCTGACCTACAGAGCGCTCCAGTCTTTTGTTACTTTGACAATTAATCAATATTCTGACTAGTAATATAAATGGAAACCAAGGGCTGTCTGTAGGCTAGAAAATTAGTCTCAAAGCTCACAATGATATGCGTTGGAAAATGGTGGGCAGTAATGTACAGCATACATGATTTACAGCTAATGAGGTACAACATGGATGCACCAGTGAGCATGAGTCAGAGCCTGTCGTTCCAATCATGTCATTTGAGGTATCTTAAGCCAACCAGTGGATGAATGGAGAGTGTCCCAACATATGCTCTCTAGTTCTCCTGCTGCACCAAACCAGGACTTACTGAGACCACGGGCACAGTGACGCCCACAGCTGTGAGCACGGTGGTGGACACTGTGCTGCTCTTATAGGGAAGCCTGATGCTGTTGTCATTGCAGAAGAATCCTCTCTGGTAAGGCGGGAAGGGAGATTTGTGCAAAAACACGGCAACAAGCAACACTGCATGGTTGGACAGATACATGAGCGCAGGTCAGACAGCTCTTAAAAACCAAAACAGTGAACAGCTGCATCAACAGACATTATCAACAGGAAGACAAAAAGAAAAGCACAGACAGATAGAAATCTCAGTCAGTCAAACAATCAGATTAAACACTCCCAGCAGATGTGAATTTAAGTTATGAATCTCATCCTTTTTTTCTGAACTGTCACTGATGCAGCCATAAGAAAATGAGCTAAAATAAACAAAATAAAACCAGCTGATATAAATGCTTAAATCAAAGCTACATAATTGTTTTCGACTTAAGTGAACCTTTCATGCCCTGAATAGCCTCAACTGATCTCAAACAGGCTGAGTTAGTGCTAAAAGGGTTGGATGTGTCATGTTCTTGAGAGGGGACCATTGCTACTAGCTGACAAGAAAAAAAACACAAACACTATCAGAGTCTTCCTTCCCTTCCCGCAGCGGCTTTCAAGTGCACTTAAAAAGGCCCAGTTTAAGATGCCTTGGGGGGTGTCTGCGTCTGATCAATTTAGTGTGTTTCACCACTTAAAGTGGCAAAAGGATCTTATTTATCTCCTGACAACAAACATAGAGTGGGTGTAACTCAGATGCAAGCCAAAAAGGACAGCTTATTTTCTCCATTTACTAAAGGCTTCAATGGCTTCACTTTGAAATTTGAGTGTGGACGTCGTACCCAGGAGACGCCTCAAATCTCAGACAGAATTTGGAAAACACACTTTCAAATCACTTCAAAGCAGCATTTAACAGATGCTGGAGCTTTCAAGTCACTCTTTGAATAATTCTGCGATCTGCCGATACAAAGAAAATCAAACATCAGCGCTCTTTCTCACACACTTTCTTCCCCTGTCAAAAAGCTAAAAAGCACTGGGGTGTAGAGGTCAGTGCTGAGAGCTGCTGAAGGCAGGATGATGGTGGTGGTGCTGGGGGGGTGTGATTTCTCAAACCAAATGTCAACATAGGCTTCAGTTGCTGCTGAGCCCCTCAACCCCTTGCATCCACATAAATACACACACACTTGCACAAAAACACACAGCTGACTGGCCTTTGAAGGTCCAGCTGGGTTGAGCTCAGGTTACAGACAGGGCTCTGCTGCTTGATGGGAACTCCAGAGCACCGGCCTTCCCTCCACATTCAGCAGGATTCACATTATTAACTTTGTCTTTTTCATTTTCCTTCTTAAAACAAATACCTGGACGGAGCTACAATCGGCACTGAAGCAGGTCTGGTGGCGAAAGAGCGGGGTGATACGTCTCTGAGATCTGTAACAGTAAAAATATACTGTACTTCAAATCCTCAGTGTCTGATCCTTGAGTTTACTTTGTCTGGCCATGAACAGAACAACACAGGCCTTAGCAAAACACATTCATTCGGACATATAAAGGCTGCCCAAAATGCTGATATAAAGCAGTCAAGGGAAAAAAGCACAGGGCTGAAAGTGCTGGATGGGAAACACATGAAGCCCAGAGTCTTGACCCCTGCAGACTCTGCTGAACACATTCACAGACCTGATACAAGCCACAAGGCCAGAGGCAGAGGGCAGAGACTAATAGAGAGAGACAGAGTGGTAGCAAATGGATTGATGAAATTACGTGTCTACAGTTTATAAAAGGAACCTGCACGAGGTCAAGAACCTCAAACAGCTGATTGGAAAGACGGAAAAAACACAATGAGACACTGTCAGGTCCTGTCTTCCAGAAATTCAGCTGGGTTTTTCTTCTCTGCTCAGTCCTCTGACCCCTTCCATCCGTCTAAACAGTGCAGCATCAGCATTACATACGGCATCTTGGGATTTTCCCCTCCTACCCTCTTCCTCCCTTCCCGCTTCTGAAAGCCGGGTGGGGGGTGGAGGAGGAGGGGGGAAAAGTCATCCTGCCAACAACAACACCAGTCAGCAAGCATGGGTATGTCTTTTACATTAGCTCAACATCAACCCAAAGACAACAGAAACAAACAAAATGGTTTGAGAGATTTTTTTCTGACTTCTCAGTTCCTAATGTAAACATCAGGTGTCCTCTATTCAGTTTTGCCCCAAAGCAGTTTGCTTAATAATCAACAGGGGAGCCCTAACTGAAAATAAGCAAACAAAGTAAATGAATAATGATGATGACTTTTTCAGCACATTACTGAGCGTTGCCTCACATCAAAATATGCTCGAAAAAAATACTGAGACCTACTAGTTAGAATTTCCTACGCCTGTCCGTTTTGCCTTTCTCCCTGTTCAGCCCTGGCAGTTCCGTGTAGCTGCAGTTTGTGGAAACTAGAATCAATGTATAACCCTCATGCTGAATTAAAGCCCTACCATATTTTGGAGGCATTCACCAAAACACCAAGTGTGACTGTTAAAATAAACAGACGCACATTTTCCACTTGCAGGGATCTCTCACTGTCTGGCGTAGAAATGTATACATGTCTGAGGTAGTTGTGGTGTATACACAGATGCAGTTGTTTTTACTCGCAGCAGCCCCCACACAACCTGCTCCCTGCCTGTCTGTCTGTCTGTCTGTCTGTCTGTCTGTCTGTCTGTTTGCCAGTCAGTCTGGCCTGCTGCAAAACTTAGTTCATGGTTCCTGTGGAAGGGAAACCAGCTCTGCCTGCTTAGTTAAAAACAGTTGTATTTGTATTGAATTGCTAGCGGCTAGAACTGCTGCTTATGCTCCCCTTTGCTCTTCATTTACTATCCATATTTCTTTAGAGGAGTAGGTATTACACAGTTCAAATTCCAGATATACATATCTGTTACTCCTTAATTCCTACAACCACAATAAATACATGCACAGACACATAGAAAAAGTATGCAGACAATACGATTCATACATGTACATAAATCATGCACAACAACACCACATACAGTATATACACAGACATTTACACAACATACGGCTTGCATGTACATACATGCCTAAAAAATATTACCCTGAAAAATGCAGAATAATTTATCAAATAATCAGTTCACTTTAACTTCAGTCCATTTAAACCTTTAAATAAATTCAACGGCAGATACAGTGTATTTGTATTACATATAAATCCCACATCCTAATTTATATATTTGATTATATGCACAACAAATTTAATACAGCGATATCTTTAAGTAATATTTCCTTAAACTGAGACCTTTCAGTGCCATTTTAAATTGTCTGTGTTTCAACTGTCTCACTTGTGACACATCACTCAAAAACAAACTTGAGGACAATAATTGCTGTATGACTGGTCAGCACTTGTTTCCGCTTGAGATCTAGCTAATGATTGTTATTTTTAGAGGGTCAGTTAAACCAAATTACAAATAACTAGACTGTCTCATTTTCAGTTTTACTTGCTGAGTGTTTGAGATATTTGTCACTGAGATTACTATTACTAGCCACTATATACCACCCACACTCGAGGAACCAAGCCTTAAAAAACATAAGTTACAACAAATTTCAACATCATTTCCATGATTTCCCGGCTCACCATGGTCTGTTTTCACAAAACTGAAAAATACAGGCACAACTGTGGCCGATTAAACACCTCCTATTTACTGCTGAACCAGGACAAAAGCACACAGAAACATTATAACACGATTAACTGGGAAACATGAAAGCCACCTGCTACGGTTTAATGCAAACTGAACCTGATCACCTCACCACAGGTTGAAGCAAATAATAAAATAAATAACAGCCCTCTGCTTTTCTCAGCATTATTCATCAGGATTTAGTTCTAATCACCTCTGAATCAGAGTGACGCTTTCCTCTAGTCTACTGACTCATGTTATCTTTACCGCCACTGATGGTCTACTGGGATTACAGTGACTGGAGAAGGTTCTTGTGCACAAGAGAGAAGGGAGAGAGATATCCCCAGATGTAGCAGTACTCGAGCTGTAATCAGTGAGTGGATGAGTGGTGATTACCAGAGCTGGCCCACCATTTCCTCCCTGTGGTTGTTCCCTTTAAACCACGTCTTTTGCCAGAAAAACACTTCTGGTTTGTTGACAAGCTTCTCTGTGGGAAGGTATGTACATTCAGAGCAAATCATGGGGATTTACCCTCCACAGAGACAAAAACTAGACAAAAGCTAAATATAGCTTGTCAGAAAACAACTGTTTATACTATAGACCTCTCATGGCATATTTTAACAATAGCTGGACTGCTGCTTTTCCCATGCAGTTGCAATAACTTTTATCTAATAGTTGAATGCTCCTCCGCTGTTTGCCATTACGTTAACACTACAGAACAACACACTGGAAACATGTGCTTATATCAGAGAAGAAAATAAATTAGTGAAATTATTGAAAAGTCAAAGGTTTAAGCCCCAAGGAGAGCCGCGAACCTTTTGTAGGACTTCAAGGTTCAAGCTTCAAACGGTGTAAAAAAATGTTTCACCTGCAATAACAACCTTAACCCAATGTCTGCGGCTGCTGAACGAACACACACACACACACACACACACACACACTTCTGACAATTTCACCACTTCCCTTAATTACTCCACACACACACACACACACACACACACAAATATAATATGCCAGATGTTGGGATCAGAAGAATTCCTGCTGGTGTGGAATGTGAGCCATTCTGGAAAATATAATGAGGAGTCAAAGCAGAGGCATACAGTACAGGTGTGGGTGGAGACCAAAGAAATGTATCCCTCTTGGAGCAATTTATTAATTAGTTTCCCCTTTGCCAGCAGTTTTTTTGGTGCTGAGGAAAACAGATCCACTAGCTTAGCTAAAGCAATTGCTGGAAAATATGCAGCTTTAAAGTTGCAACGGCCAAATGTGTTGGCTATAGCTACTAGTGGGGCATCACTTGTTGCTGTAGCAACGGAGCTTGTGGAGCTGATGAAGCTAAAACATTTAACATTTGGCTAACAAAGGTGTTTAAATTTGATAATTACCTTTAAATTCCTATCTCTTATTAAAAGTTTCAATTAAGCTTAATTGGTGTAAGTGACATTTTTTATGACCTGTATCATTCAGAGGACATTTAGCTAGATTAACGTTAAACTATCAGGGCAGTATCGGTAGAAAAGTGGTTTTCCTCTAAATATAATAATTATAATCATAAAATACAAAATTTAAATGTCAAAAAATATTACAAGGGAGATCATATTATAGTCATGTGTAGGAAAACTGGTAGATGAAGACAACATGAGATGAAGAACAAAAACGTAAAGTTAGTTAAAGTCATACTGAACACACCTGAAGTCCTGCCAATGTTTACAATATTCAATCAAACAATACGTTTAAAAAGAAAAGACAAAATGAGTCACTACTAATACAATGTAATGTTATACATGTTACTGATAACGGTAACTGGTGAAACTTTATAGTGGGAGACTTACCCAAAAACAGGCAGAAGAGATCCACCCCGACCAGCAACTTTCTCCTGCGGTGGTCTTTGCAGTTATTGTTGTTCAGTGAACTCCCGCCGTTCCTCGTCTCGGCTGCCATCGTTTTCTCATATATCAAACAGCGTTGCATTTAAAACGTTTTGTGTGTTTCAAATGTGAGTGGAACTAAAAATGCTGCTGCGAGCTTTCGCAGTGGTGCGTTAACTTTACGTTTTACTATCTACAACAAGCGACAGCTAGCGGCTTCTACATGAATCCTAAGGAGGAGTAGTCGCGAAGAAAGTCTGTGAAGAAAACAGGCTGCTTTCTAAAAGTAACCACCGCCTCTCTAACAACAATCGCAGCTCGCTTTCTTCTAACTTCTAACCATCGTTTACTCCTTTCCATGGGGGTAGTGGGTGTCCTGTGACAGCCCTCCAAGAAAGCCCCTCCTCCAGAGCCTCCCCTCCTCAATTAATGCCATATGCAAGCTCCTTCACACAGGCTGATTCCCACTCACCTCCGTGATACAGTACACTTACTATAAGAGCAGCAATAACAAGGGGGATTCCACAAAACACGAAAGTCATCCACTTAATTGTGAAAGGGATTTTTCCAGGGTCTGGAGCACAAGTTGTATGTTTTACATATTTAGGGCTCTGTTTTTCTTTTCTTCTTTTATTCCTTAGACTAGTGTTGTTTTTCACTTGAGATGCAGCAAGATAAACAGTTTGTTCCTTCCCTGGAAAAAAAAAAAAAAATGCACGAGTAAGTAAAAATTCCCACATTACTCAGGTTTTCCCTGTCTGATGTACAGTATGATAAATGGAAACCCTGAACAATATAATGAGCTTCCAACATCAGTTAAATTTCAAGCAACAAAACATATGGAGGACTCAGATACTGTTCATGATACCTCGACAAAATCTAAAGTGAGAGAAGTGCTGTGTAAAGAAGCAGCATTACAAAGGAGGGATTTTCTATGGCTTTGTATCAGTTAAGAGTGGATAACTTAATTACGTAGGTCTACAGTTACACTGTCTACAAAAGCTGTGTAGCAATGTCATAAAATGTCATCAAAACGTAATGGCAAATATTTATTAGATGTACCACACAAACCAAAGAAAATCCAAATGCAAAGAACATATTGACAAACATAAACATAAGCTATTACAAGTGAACAATTGACTTCTTTATGTCAAATTTTTGGACAAAGTGCAATTATTGAATTTGTACACCATTCACTCTTTTTAACAGCAACTTCAGAGAAAAGAAAAAGTGCAGAACACAAAGTGAAAATTCACCAATATGCACAACAAAGTAAACAAAAAAAGTGAAATCTGGATTATAATACAGTTGCATCAGCAGCTCCGTTCATGATCAAAAAAACATTTTCTAAATACTTGACAAAGAAGTCTCGATGGCAGATCTTCATGGTATGAAACCCTAAGGATAAACTGTAGAGTTGAGGTTTTTCCACACTGACATTCCCGGCTTTAGCTGATGTGCTAATCAGAAGGTGTCAGCATATAGTGGTGGAGGAGGAAGGAGCTCCAGCTCTGTGAAGTCGACCTCTTGTTCACTGTGATACAAAACAGAGAAGAACATCACATTTCATGGGGGGGGGGGGGGGTAACCAAAGCACCTGAGGTCCTGTGTGTGCTTCTTTGGCAAACCCTGACAGTACTCTGCTGATACAAATAAAGATCAAGCAGAAGCAAGCTTCACTTGCTGATTAGAAAAGAAACTCAACACTTACGGATATGGAGGCTCTTCAACAGCACACAAGAAGTCTGGATAAAGACAAGAAGATACAAAGATGACATTAACTTTGAACTGCTGTCTCTGCAAAATGTCCAACACCAACACTCTGTCTCCAAGTTACTCGAAACAGATAAAGGCTCCTCACAAGTTATTTTCCATGACAGACCAGACGCCAACCAGTGTTTAGACTGTGAAGTAACTTGCAAGTGCTCTCCTCTTAGCTTCCCCAGTATCAGTGAGTGTGATGGAGGTGGTGACAACAGTGCAGTCATGGAAAAAAATGAAACTGTGTAAACTTACTTGGCGGTTCAGCACTTTAAACAGGACACCACGGGTAAAATAAATAAATGAAAAAATGTTTTCTATCATTAACATGGTTTTTGAATATGAAGGCATTGGTGCAACAAAACAATTTAACCTTCAAAAAACTAATGATTCAAGTTATGCAAAAGGAGAATACTGTACTTTGTGGGTGTTGCTCCTTCACCATCAGTGACATCAACAAATTCATCTTTGCTGTGTTGAAAGAAGATGGCTAACTTCTGCAGGGCTTCATGTCTCGTCCTTAAAAGTTTAAGACAAGAAACTATTAGGATTCGTTTTACTACCATAACTATGTTTCACTCTCATCAATGGCCTACGGGGGGTGGATGAGGACCACCTGTATAATCCAACACAGTGACCCTGAAATAAATACATCTACAAAGCTTATGACAATCAGTGTTTGTTTCAGAGGGGTACTAATTCAGGTTTCAATTAATTTTGAGGCTGCAATTTTGTTGTGTTCTCCTGGATGTTTTTTATACATATATTTTTTGTGAACCTTCCATATGTTCCAACAGGAATACAAAGACCAAAAGGTGATGATATCACAGGCTAAGTGCAGTGAGAAACAGAGTCCAATAAGTCCATCATCATCACTGATTTAAGCACTTGGAGCCATGTTGAGGATTGGGCCGTTTTCCACTAAGTTGAATCTCTTTTTCTGCTGAAGCAGTTAAAAATGACAGCAGTCCTAAAAGTAGCCTAAATGATCAGAGGCTGTTTGGTTTCCCGGGGCTAAAAGTTATGGACTGCATCTTCCTCTCCTCTATTTGTACAGCGATATTCAGGGACACCTGTATTTGTGTCCAGTCTGCCATTAATTAAAGAACAGGAAATGAACAGGGTGCAGAGTTAGGTAAGATCGACATGCAATGGCAAAGGAGCAGTGAAGCACAAAACCAAATTTCATTTCAGTTCAAGCTGCAAGTGTTTTTCTTTAAAAAGATATTCAGTTCCGAAAATCATAGCTCTGTGAAAAACTTTGATGTACTCACACAAGTGAAGACCAAAGAACTAATTTATTTGCTGTCACATTGAGTTATAGAACATAAGTTGGATGCTCTGATGGACCAAGTCCAAAGCAAGTGTGTGTTATTTTAACTGTATATCATCATATCCCACTTAAATCTCATTTCATTCATACAATATTGAATGGACTGTACGTGAAAAACTTTGAATTCTGGACTGTTTGGTGTCAGTCAAATCTGCTTACACTGACTTGGAGTCATCCAATTTCAGTCAGTGAACACATGAAAAAGTACAGAAGCATGCCCTACTAACTATGCTTACTAAGAGTCTTAAAAAGAGGAGGATGTAGAAAGATTTATGTACTTATGAGCTTACAAGAGAGACCTGCCAAGGGATCTGCTTTGACACCTGTGTGTTTGAGACTTACTGTGTGTGCAGGTCCTCCAGGTTGGCATCGCTCAGAGTGTGTTGGGCGCTGACATGGCCACAAGCTGTCAAAGCGAGCACATGAAGGGCAGAGGTGGGTTGGGTGAGGAAGGGTAGGGGGCGAGTTACACAAGGACAGTAAGACAGAGGGAGGGAGGAAGGAAGGGAGGAAATGGCATGGTAAAAGTGCACATCAAAGGCATGTTTCTGTCTGCCATATGTCAATGCATAACATAATGTAACCACAGGCAGAGCATTTCCCTTTAAACCAGAAGGCTGGAGGAGGTGGGGGTCTCCTGTTCTCATGCTTTTTAAGTATGGACAGAAAATGTACTTACACAACTCAGACATGGAGGAAGTCTGCTGGGGAAAGTAACTATACAAACAGAAGAGAAAGAAAATAATTATATATACTGTGTACCACATAAATTCAATCATCTTTCAGAGGGAAAGACTGGAAACAACTCTTATGTGGTTTATGGTTTGTCATTCTTCTAAGAAATAGCACTTATCTAAAAGCCATTTTGAGCCCAGTAAAGGACAGTAAAAACTTGTCAGTCTTACTGGCTTTCATTGGAGGGTGAGAGAGTCTCATCTTCACAGGCCCACTCCTCACTGTCATCTGTGACTGTGGAAAAACAAATTAGTTTGATTAAGCAAAGTGTGGTTGTTGATGATAGAGGTTTGGCAGGGTAGCAGCCAAAACCCTCATTCTACATGGAATTCCTTCACAATCATACAATAACACATTGCTGTCAAGCAGATGACAACTAGTTAAGTTATTCAGACCAGGCCTTTGGGCTGGTTTCCAATCAGTGCGCAAGTGTACTCTGTCAGTCAACAAGTCAATGCATTATATCAACCAGTTAAGTTCTTTGTTCTGTCTTCATTAGGCTGCAATGCTTTTTGAAATGCTGAGGTAGCTAATGCAAAGTTATGAGATGACAGTACAACCCCCCCCCCGTGCAGAGCCTACTGACACTTACAGCTGCTTGTTAGAACAAGGTGGCTGGAGGATCTGCAAAACAAAGAGTTATAATAATTTATCATGACACACACTGGTGGACTGGCAAGCAAAAAGTGGTTACAAGTCTTTTTTCTTTTTTTTTTTTTTAAATTAAGAAATCAAAAGAAGTTCATCAGCAAGTTACCCAGTACCTGCTGCCAATGCTGATGGTATCTCCCTCCAGGTTTCCTCCTCGTCCTGCTGCCTGGGCCTTCTTGCCAAGTTCCAGCATTTCCTTGATATTTAGCTCCACATTCATGACTGAAATATAACCATCTGAAAATAAACCAGAATAGGGCAGTAACTGAAAACACTGAAGATAATAATATAATAACACTGTGGTGTAACTGTGTAAACATATATGTAATATACTACAACTACATATCTAAACTCACATTTGTGGTTGACGTCTCGAGCCAGCCATTTGCCTTTGGGGCAGTTGGTGGTGCGGATGATGCTGACCGTGTCCCCGCTCTTCACTGGAAGGTCATTCTTGCGGACTTTACTGGCCACCATCACCTTGGCGTGGTACATGGGCTCCTCATCGCCAGTCACCTAGACAGTTACATTTTAAGTAATGAGAGGCTGTGGTTTTCACAGATTTCACTTATGCAGTTCATTATGTACAATTCTAAGCAGGGGAATTGCTGGAAAATTACAGCCTCAAACTGTTTACTGCCTGTTTATTGAGCTTCATTGTGATACCATGACAAAAGCAGGCGAGAGAAAATACAGCTCTACTAGAAGAAATGATCATCCTCAAGGTAATACGATTGCCTGACATACCTTAAACTTCTTTTTCATTTCATTTTCTTTCTTCTCCCTTTCTTTTTGCTCCTTTTTCTCCTTCTCCAGTCGTTGCTTCTCCCTCTTCTTCTGCTCTTTAAAGTCAGCAGTGTTGGGGCTTTGGCGTTCTTTACTGAAAACAAATTGGACCGCTCAGTGGCAAAATAAATGAAAAAGCAGCACTTATTTTCCATAAAGATTGTACTCCGCACCTGAAATATAAAAAGGGACCATAGGCTAGTAAAAAAAAAAAAAAAAGTGACAGAAGCAAAATTCAATGTGAAATCAAAAGGGATCTGCTGTACGACCAGCTCAGTGAGTGACAGGTGTCGTGTCTAACATACCTGTGGACATGATTATAGGCAGAATGAGCATGTTCTCCTGATACACTGCCCCTGCAGTTTGATTACCAGTGAGAGAAAAATCAATGGCTGCCTTCCATCTGGCAAAAATCAATGTCAATGACACACAGGACTTGTATGTTTGGAAAAAAACGAAAAAAAAAACAAAACAAAGACATACCACGGATTCCGTGGCCATATGTTACACGCCTCCTCCTTCTTGAAATAAACACAGATGATTTTTAATTTACCACAGATGATTGTTAAAAGAAAGAAGCACATTATTTATTCATTGCGCAGAATTCATCTGAACATCAACTTAACTGTTCTCTCATTATTCATTAAGATGATTATAAACTCAATTAGATTTAAACAGGGGTTACCATTGGGTGGTTGTCAGCATATGGATCTGTAAAAAAACAGGAGTCAAATAGAAAGAATAAACATCTGCCAGAGGTCATATAATGAGAATAAAACCGTGTATTAAGAAAACATTCTTACTCTTCAGACCAGCTTTACGTTTACGAGAGTTCTGGCCCAAGATGAATTTATTGACGTTTTCAACATCCTCGTACACATTATCACACGTTTCATAGTAACTGTCCTGAGACACACTAGAAGGGAGAAAATGAATCAAACTTGTTATATGAAAAAACAAAACAACTGTGGTGGTTCTTGTTGATACAAAACTCACTTTGGATGTGGCTGAATGCCATCATTCAGTTCTGTGTGGCTATTAAGCTCTGCTTCCTCTGGGAAAGAGTGGCACTCAGCAGCTCCCAGATCAGCCTCACCAGCTTGAGACTTAGAAAGAGGATCTACGATCGCCTCTTCACTCTGAGACCACTGCTCTGGTGCAGCCGGCTCTGGGAACTCTGAAAGGTTTATTGGTTCAGGGAAGCTGGCTGGATCAAGAGGTATTATGTTTTGACTGCCAAGGTTCAGATCTTGGATGATACAGCTGGCACTGGGCTCTGCATGATCACAAACTGACAAATCAGGGTGGGAAGCCACAAAATCTGTGACCCCAAAGTCAGCTGGTATAGGAAGGTCAAAGTCTAAAGCCTCCAATTCTAGTGGAGCAACAGCAACAGCTTCTCCCTCTGCTGTTTCAATCTCTGAATTCTCAAACTCTGGAAACTCTGGAGCGTCCAGCAGAGGGTTGGAGATGGATGGGAGCTCAGACTCTGGCTCTTCAGTTGGTGCTTGGCTAAGGCCTGGTGACACCTCTATAAAAAGAAACAAAAATCAGCACTTGAACAGATGTTCATCCTTCCCACAAATAAGAGTAATGTAAACTGCAGTATGGCTCAAACACCAATGATCTCCAAGTAAAATACAACTTTTTGCCTTTTTATCCTATTTGAGGCCACAAACGTGGAGAAGCAAGAGTGAAATAAAGCAAAGCAAGGGAAATGGAAAAGAAAATGAGTAAAAAAAGAAGTTCACATACAGTACCATGGACTGTGGGTAGATGGTAACGGCTGAGATCTAGTAATGGAGGTCTGGGGGGCTTTGCTGGCAGTGGCCCGAGTGACCTCAGGTCAGGTAGAGGTTTCTTTGGAGGAGCTGGGGCTGGATGAGGTTCACCAGTCCTCACAGAGGGAAGTTCAGCTTGACCCCTGCCAAACTGCTTAGTCAATGCAGACTCTAGCCATCAGGAAAAACAATATCACAAAAAAAAAAAAAAAACTTGTCTGAATTAACAGTTTGTGATGATAAAGGTTTTTGATGTGGACAAAAAATGTTTACTCTTGAGTATAACTTACTATGTGCAGAGTTGGCTTTGAAGAAAGGCCGGGCTGAAATACAAGCCAGGTGTGGAAGACAGACTGGCGGGGGCATGGGCAGGTCAGACCCAACACTGTCAGTGTTCTTTGGTGGCGAAGGGAACGCCTTGTCTTTTGAGTTGTAGTCGGGGGAACGAAAGTTCTTGTGTTTGGTGGATATTAACATCTGCCGGCGTGAGAACTTTTTCTTGGCCCTCTCCAAAGTGCTAATGATTCTGCTGTCGGAGTCTACACTTGTCTCTGCAGAAGGAGGGGTGATCGGTATATCTGGGCTTGAGAGGGGGCACTCAGCAGTTGATTGGTCACTTTGGAGTGAAACCCTATCTTCTGTGGTTTGTTTTTCCACTGAGGGCAACTCGCCGGGAGCACTTGAAGGTCTCGTGGTCAAATCAGCATAAGTGGGCTCCTCTCCATTTTCTCCACTGACTTTTGATGCTTTGGCTGACTTGAAAGGAAGCAGCAAACCCTTCTTCTTGATTTTAGTTTGTGGCAGGATTTCTTTTCCTGGTTCTGGTTCCAGTTTGTGCTCCTTTCTGAGTGGTGGTTCTACCTTCTGCTCTTTTACAGGCTGAACAGGAAGCACCAGAGGCATGTGTCGCACCTTAAGGGACTGCCTTGTTGTGCTGTCTCCGTTAGCAGGCTGAGATAAGGGGGACGTCTGCTGAAGTTGTGGTGGAAAGGAAATTGGTCGCTTGCCTCCAGATGCTCGCAGCCCATCTCTGAAGATGACCCGGGGAACCACTGGTGTCTTGTTTTCTACAGCAATACTAATACTGCTAACCATAGAGCTGCAGTGACCTCCAGGAGGTGGGAGGAGTTTGGGTTTTTCTGCAACAGCTGGTCGTCCGGCTTTGCATTGAGCCAGAAGGGCCTCTTCCTGAAACTTGGCCCTCAAAGCTTTGAAGTTGATTGGCGCCTCCATAAAAAAATAAATCATTAAATATTAAAAATGGTTTTAACTTTCACAGACAGTTTTTTGGGAGTCAAAACTCAGTGCTGACACAACACGATTTAAAGGTGGACTTACAAAAATTACAAAAAACATTCTCATTCACTCCCTAGTGGTATCTATCTAATCTATTGTTTTCGTGTCCTGCTTTCACACTAATACAATGGAAGTGAATTGACTTTGTCTTTGGAGCATCTCTTTCCAGAAAACGGGTACAACTGCAGCGAGTTGTCATTTCATTGATAAGTTGGTAAAAATTAAATTACCAAAAATTAAATTGCTTTTAGTCCTTTTTTCGAAGTCATTTGAGGTTCATATGTGTGAAAATTTGCTGGTGTCCTTAGTCTGCTACAGTTGTAAACTGAATATCTTTGGGTTTTGGTATGTTTGGGGGACAAAATAAGACAAGTGAATGTAAAAACTTTGGGGAATTTTGGTTGACAGTTTCCCTACATTTTTTCAAAATACACAAATAATCAATTAACCAAGAAAAAAGATGAATCAATAATGAAAATAATCATTAGGCCAGAGAACAAGTTATCTTTTAGCAGTTGGGCCCATGTGTTTTCCAGAGTAACAGGTACATCATTTCTCAAAAGAGATGATGCTGCTGATTTAAAAAAACAAACAAAAAAAACTTTTTCAATACTGTGAGCACCACAAAAATGAATAAATAATTGAATAAACAAATAAAATACATCCATTAGGGCTGAAAGGCTGGACAATTAAAATCCAAATTATCTGCATGGCCAGATTCTACAGTTAGAAAAATGTATAATTGAGTGGATAGAACCTTTAATATGCTATAGTGTTAACAACAGACATAACTAACATCAAGTCATACACTTAAATGTCACAGAACAAGTAAAACAAACCCAAAACACATTGTATTAAACATGGTGTGCCTTAGCTAGCAGAGGGCATGGTAACAAAGCTAAATTTAGCTATCCTCTAACAAACCTCCAGCTAAACAGTTACTCAGAAAACTCTTTTATAGTTTACCTCTGCCATTGTAGATCGTTTTGTTCATCACTGTTCAAGACTGCGCATTTGGAAAGCGGTCTAAACTTTGGTGACGCGACGCTATCGACTACCTTAACAATAAATCCCGGCAAACTGTTTTTGGTAGCCAGGGATGATGCTAATCTGATGCTAATACAAACAATTTGAAAACGCCGCTGTGAGACGCACCTGCGTGCTGCGCGTATCCTGCGTGCTGCGCGTATCCTGCGTGCTGCACGTAGTCAGCGTGCGCGCTCAAATTTGTTTGATTGACGAATCAGAAAGGGTAAAACCACTTAGTGATTGGGTAGGTAATAATAATATAAAAAACGACTTCTATTACAACTACTAATATTAATGTTAATAAAAACAATTTAGTTGTTTTTTTTCATCAGTGGCTTATTACACTTCAGGTTGTGTCAGACGGAAAACGTTTGTTTGTGATTGACAGGAATGTTACGAGAAATAGGGGTTATAGATTTTTTTTTTAAAAAAAAGAAAAAAAAAAGGATTTACCAACTGTTCTAAGAGCTGTTTGCTCTTGATCAATCATTCACTGTGGTTAGTCAAGAGCACAGTGGTAAAATTCCCCTGAGGATCACAGCAGCTGTTGTGATGTGGCATTTGAATCTTCAGGAATAGTTATTCATTTTCAGCATGGGGATATTTGTTAATTTGCTCCTGGGTTTATGCGCTCTGCATCTGTTTATCAATTTTACTGTGGATGCATCCAGGAGGCCATGGACAACTGCTGACAACAGGTGCAGTATTCTTAGTTTCAGAACTTTTTATATCCCCTGGAAAACACTTTGAGAATTGTGATTTAATCCATCTCATGCACCATTAGTAGGCCTACATCTGGAATTGAGATGATAATAGTGTTTCTGTGGGTCAGGGGGGCTAGGGCAAGGATGGCCAGAGCTGCAAACAATCCCATACCCAGACCAACACCTGTAAACTGTAGACTGACAAACTGGAAAAGTTGGACCCCTTGTGACTCCTGCACAGACATACAGGTAATGGAGTTGTTGTTGTTTTGTTTTTGTTTTTTGCAATAAATTACACACACCAGTTATTTAAAGATGCTGAATAAAATGAGTTGGACTGGGCAGTTTTTGTCATGTAGCTCAGATCAATACATTATGTTCATTAAGTCCAAAGGGGAGCTATGAATATCCTAAATCAGCATTCCTACTCCAATAAGGTCAATAAAAGTGGACTTTGTCTACTGTTACTGAAATTTTGGGCTTTTCTGCCCAAATCCAACAAATATTACATAGCTACTTATATACTTATATGAAATGTACATTTATTTACATGATTTTGAATTTTAATTCATTGAATGCACCATAGTGCCATACAATAATATGTAACCTGCTTCTGGAGTATTTCTGTGTGAATCTACTGTATATCTCACTGATGATATAACAGAATGAACTGATTTTATATGCAAATTTATTTTTTAACTCTGCCTTAGTTCCGTTTCCGATACTTGGAGAAACCGTCACAGTTTGGAGGTGAGATGTGCGGTGATTTGTGGGAGAGGCTGAAATGCCCAGCAGCAACCACAAACTGTTCGGTGCCAGATTACTGCGGAGCGAGCTTCACCTGCCCAGAAAGCGGCAAGTCCCATCAACAACCACTCACACAACACGTTCTCTTCAAAGTGAAGGTGTTTTTTTTGTTGATGGAGGACAAAGGATATAGGATGTTTGTTTCTTTCCAGGGCGCTGTATCAGCAATTCACTTCTGTGTAATGGAGAGTCAGACTGTGGCAGTGGGTCTGATGAGGAACACTGTCAAAAGGTCAACCAAAGAAAGGACAAGTGTTCCACCTTAATGCCGATCCCTGGCGCTGAGCGCGGCACACTGGGGTAAATACTGGATAGCTTTTACTGCTGTTATTGTTATTATCCACTTCACTTAGTTTATAACACATGACAGAAAACTGTAAAAACAATACAAACGCATAGAGAGCATGAGCTGTAAAAAATGCTTTTAATTTGGAAAATCATTAACAAAGGGAAAGTCCCTGTCTTTGCTTAGCAAACTACTTTGAAATATTGGAAATGCCAGCCCCATAATTCTAATTATATATACATATTCACTCAATTTCAGTTGTCAACCTGTCACACCATTATTTCAATTATTTTACATTTAATGTAATCTCCATACCTTTACTTAAAGGAAATACACTTCTTTGTTTTATTCCGAGAGTTAGATGAGAAGCTCGATACCACTCTCATGTCTGTATATTAAAATAAGCCACAGCCAGCAGCCGGCCAGCTAAGCATAAAGACTGGAAACAGGGGGAAGTGTTAGCCTCGCTCTGACTAAAGGTAAAAGAGTCCACCTACCAGCACCTCTTTACCTCTTTCTTGTTTAATCTTGTTTGTTTTATCTCTTGGGAAAGTGAGGTTTCCTGCAACCTAAGGGTGCACCAGCTAGGTTGGTGGTAGGCAGCAGGGGTTTCATGGAGTCACTTCTCTCTGCAAGAAGATTCATTATTTTTTATTTTATATTATTTATTTTAACCAGGTGCAAAATATTTCTTATTTACAATGACAGCCTGGAAAGTGGCAAGCTTGGGGTGGACAGAGCTAGGCTAGCTGTTTCCCCCTGTTTCCAGTCTTTGTGCTAGGCTAAGCTAACTGGCTGCTGGCTGTAGCCTAATACTTACTATGCAGACATGAGAGGGGAATCAATCTTGCCATAAGAAACCCAATAAGAGTATGTTCTAAAATGTCTGTTCCTTAAATGACTAATTGGAATTATTCTTCTTTGCCTAGGTATAATATCTTGACTGGAGATTTTATGAATCATGTACTTGACTCAAATTACTTTGGAGGACAATGTGAATATGTCTATAATGGTGAATGGAGGAAATTCACTTACGACTCATTCTGTGAGAACCTGAACTACAATGAGAACTATAAAAACTACCGGAAACCTTACAACTATCACACCTACCATTTTGTGGTACTGTAATGTTGAGATTTATTTCTTTGTGAAAATTGGACTGATTGAACTGATATATTATGACATAAAACTGAATCTGTTACAGGCTCAAGCTACTTCACAGGGCTCTCATGAGTTCTATGAAGATGTGGCGAGTCTGCTGAAAGCGAGGCAAACTCTGAAATCTTCCAGTGGCGGTGTCACAATCGGGATCAGTAAAGTGGAAGGTGGAATAAGTGGAAGTGGCAGCTCTCTGTTTCTCAACAACATAACACAGTTTAACAGCCAGGTATAATCTATTGACCCACAGATCTACATGTTTTACAAGAAAACAAGTGCAATTAGTTCTAATGTTTGTTTTAACTATATTGTTTGAGGTCAGGTTGTGCTATTTTTTATTTTATTTTTTGCTAGTAGCTCAAATTGTGAGAAAGGAGATTGTTTGCTTTCTTGTCAAGGGTTAGATGTCCATGTCCATTATATGGTTAAGTCAGTTTAGCAAAAAGACTGGCCACATTATATCTTGTTTTTTTAATCTGAACAAAAGCGGTGTGTAAACCACAAGATTACGTAACGTACATATGGTTACTACTAACAACAGAGATTCCAGGAAGTCACTGCCCCCAGCCAAGAAATAGTCTGACACACATACCCTGTGCTTTGGTTTTTGTACAAACTAAATATAAGGTTTTTATCAGTGAGTTTCAGAAGTGCATATAGCAGGATTTTACTACCTTTGGACTGAGCCATGGTTAGCTCTTTCCCCCATTTTTAGTCTTTATGCTAAGCAGAGCTAACCATCTCCTAGGTGTAGTTTTAATTAAATTAATTGTTAAATATGATAGTAGTATTGGTCTCCTAATCTAACTCTAAGCAAGAAAACAAGTACATGCATTACCCAAAACTGAAGTGTTTAGTATCTGAGGCGAAAAGAACAGCCATTATCTGGGGTGTGAATAAGTCAAGTTGAAATGAAATTTTTTCATTATTGTTAAAAAAAATAGAAAAAAAACTTGCCTTTTTGTCCTCAGGACCGAGGGTTTATCAGGCTTTGGTCCAAAGTGCAGACAGCCCGGTTCAAGATGAGAACCAATAAGCTGGTGCTTCATGAGGAATTCCAAGCTTCACTCATGGAGCTCCCCGAGCAGTATGACTTTGGGGTGTACTACCGCTTCTTTAATGCGTTTGGCACCCACTATGTCACAGAGGGAACTATGGGAGGAACCCTTGAATATGTTGCAGTTCTCAACAAAACTGCCATGGCAAATTCAGGTACTGTGGGCTTTCCAGTCTGGTAATCAGTATTATGTAATTGGAAATGTAACGTAAAGTAACCTTTGTTCATTTCTCTTCTGGAACTCTTGCAGAGCTTACTGCTTCAGAAACTGAATCTTGCCTTGGTGCCTCTATTGGTTTAAGCAATCCACTTGGCGCCCAGACTGCACTAGATCTCAAACTGAAAGGGAATTCATGCGGAAAAGATGGATCGTTTGAAGATGGTGGTGTTGAATTTTAATTTACATTTAACTATGTCTCACTTGACTGATAAATTATATGAAGGATTGCTGTTGTAATGTGTTGATGTTATTTTTTGTTGTTTGTTTTGCTTTTGAAACATAGGAAAGAAGTCTGATTCTTCTGTGATTGAGGATGTTTTGACCTTGGTGAAGGGAGGAGTCACATCCAGCAGCAGTGGCCTGTTAGCTATCAAGAATCCGGAGACCTACAGGAACTGGGGAGCGACTCTCAAATACAACCCAGCAGTCATCGAATATGAGGTGACATAATTTCACACAAAAAGAAGTCGTAGTTAAATTCTCACTCAGTGTCACGCATAATGACCTCGCACTTTTACACACTTTTGTGCCGTTGCTGATGTAGTCATCTTATATACGTGAACTTTTCTCTTCCTCTGTCTTTCCTTCACTGTTGCCCAGATCATGCCAATCTATGAGCTAGTGCGCCTCAGCACAGTCGCTGACCATGTAGGTGAAAGACTGGCCAACTTGCGGAAGGGCTGGGATGAGTATGTGCAGCAGTTTCACTCCTGTCGCTGCGCCCCCTGCAGGCATAATGGGATCCCTGTCCTCTCTGGTACCTCCTGCAGCTGCGTCTGTAAGTCCGGCTACTTCGGAGACTCCTGTGAACAGACTCACAGACGAGGTGAGGTGTCGTGAAAAAGTTGAGGTTAACACATTCAAAATCAATGGCTTCTTGGGGAGCAGAAATGAGCTGTAAACAAACTAACTGTAATAAATAATCTTTTAAATTCCAATAGCAAACTCAGCATGCTAACATGCTAACAGTAGGGGTGGGCGATACGACCAAAATTTTCAATCATGGTATATGTAACTTTATATCATTGTAATGGTATTTGTGACAACACAGTAATTGTTCTATAAATTCAATGTAGAAATGTTTTAATATTTAAAATGGTCAAAGTGTTTTTTTCCCCAGAAGTAGCCAGCTGACTGACAGACTGACATTGCCATCCCTATTAACTCACAGCTAGCCTGGCTAAAATATAGATGTGTTAGCATTTAATGTGTTATAGTACCAAAAGTCAGAGTGCTCAATTACTGAAAATAGTCAGTACAAATAAAAAACTGTGCCCTCTTTGGTGCCTCAGATTTTGCCAAGAATCCAGGATGGTTTAGATCCCCACACTGAAGAGCACCAGAGGGACACTTTTCTTTCCACACCCAAGCAGCACTCCTTGCACTTTGTTTTTTGACACAAAACTGCACTGTTTAGGTCAGAGGATGTGAGTGAGCAATGGTAGTGTGCAAACCTTTCCTCTGACCAAATTCATATCCTTTGCTTAAGATTAAAATGAAACCCTGCTGGCTGTTACTCCACAGATACCAAGACAGACGGGTCGTGGACGTGCTGGGGGTCCTGGTCACCCTGTTCATCAGGGGAGCAGACTCGGGGAAGGAACTGTACTAATCCCGCACCTGATGGGGGCGGAGCACAGTGCCTGGGCTCCTCCTCTCAGAGTCAACTCTGTTGAAGTGAAGTTCCTTCTAGATTCCAGGGTAAAGATGTCGAGTACAAAGAAGTGAGCGCAAGGGTCACGTCAGAGCCCTCAAAAATAAAATGACACCTGCCTTTCCCAGATCACACTGTGTGACATACTGAATATCAAAGCAGTAATAAACGTGTGTTGTGCAGACTTTCTGTGTGTGTGTCAGTATTTTTTAAAGTATTTTTGTAAGCTCAAGAGTGAAACTGTCATTTATACTGTGTGGCATTTTGTAATTTGCGTCCAATATGAAGGTTAAATTTAGTTATCATAAGCTGGATCCAGATCCAGATAATTATAAAGACATGACTCACATGGTTTAACGTTCTTTATAAAATATTCATTGAAGAAATCACATGTAGATTTTTTTTTGTCTTATTTTATTCAAATATAAACCATTATGTCACAAAACACACCACAGACTAATCTCCTATTTTAAAGGAGGCTTTTATAAATCTTTGTGTCAGTGTTGACATCGGAGCTGTTGAGCAGGGTTTTAACATTGAGTCGATTCTTGCTGCAGTCCAACGCACGCCATGCCTTCATTCCTGGGTTCTGGGTTGTTACACTGTCGACTTCTTGACATTGTTCCTCCACTGCAGGGTGACCATTCACCCCAGCAGCTCCAGCTGCCGTCAATGGGTATTTCTGTCAGAAAGAGTCATATCAAGTCTCATTATGTCAGTGTCTCAGTAGGTTTAGTGCAAAGAAGGAAAACCGCCTTGTATGCAGTTATTTTGTATTTTGGATCTGGAGAACTAACGTTTTTGCCTCTTAGTGATCTCACAGCCCCGTCCACTGTAGCCAACAGGACACACACAGTCACACCTTGTGCCTGTTGAGGAAGACAATATTTCCTTTACCATCATTCATCGTTTAGTTATCCATCATCTATCAGTGATTGATAAAGGTCACTTAATGTTTGTATAACTAAAACTTAATTAAACTAATTAAACTAGCAAATAACACCTCTAAAAGGAAATTTAATGAATATTACCTAGTTAAAACATTACCTAGTGGCTCACAACTCGTGTGGTTTTGAGACTTTTTAAGGAAATAAATGTCCTTATATCAGACCTCCTCCTGCTACTGCTTCTCCCTTCTGGCTCCTCCATGGTTATCAACCTGCCTGCGTGTGCAGAGCGCCACAGGAGAGGAGGAGACACTGTGCAGCTGCTGACGGAGATCACAACACTGTGTGTGTGTGTGTGTGTGTGTGTGTGTGTGTGTGTGTGTGTGTGTGTGTGTGTGTGTGTGTGTATGATGTGGATAATTATGTTCGCCACAAAAGATTTGGTGATTGTCTGAGCTCTTAATTCATATTCATATTTTGGGAGTACAAAAAGACCCAGTGCTGAGGAAAAAGGACCAAACCCTGTTGGAGGCATTGTTGCATTTGTGAGTAACAGTATATTGGTTTTTACTGGGGGGAAGGAAAGGAAGATTTGACCTGTTTTATAAACTGTTTTTATATTATTTTCTTATTATGCTTTTTTACTTACTTTTTTTTTATGCTTCTTTTATTTCTGTTCAGCACAGTGAATGACCTCTGTGTATGATAATGTGCTATACATATAATTTTGCCTTGCCTTACCTAATGCACTGAGCTTTCTGTGACTAAATGAAGGATATGGAACCAGTAGTAATTTCAGTCATAAACACAAACAATAATATCCTCTGGGTTACCTCTCAAAACAGCTACTCCATTGTTGTGGCAGGGGGCACAACGGCATGGGCTAGCCTCTGCCAGGTACTTTGACAGGGCTTTCTTTAGATTTCTCTTCAGAATGGCATCATGAGTGAAGTCTCTGGGGGTCACCAGCTCGAACAGCGGCTGAGTCTAATGAGAAACAAGTGTCATAATTAAACCGGGATCTTGTTACTGTTCAAGTTCAATTCTATTGGCCTGAGTTTTTTCAGATGGAGCCAACTGGAAAGCCTCACGTGTGCTGAAACTTGACCGCACTGTACTCAGGCAGCCTAGTTGTATTTGGCACAGTTTGCTATTTGGCTTCATTTGCCGTTTTGTTCTCCAACTCGCTATTGATTAGCTTAGCTGTACTTTGTCTCTCTGTAAGTCTGCCAATCGTGGTCCCATCACTGACCAACTCCTTTGTAAATGTTTCTGCATCAATTAGTCAGGTCAAATTCTGTGAAGACTATTTTATTACAGCTTTAAATTGAGATGGAGATACATAAAGGAAAGGAGATTATGGGAGACAAGAAATGGATAAAAGAGCATTACAAGTGGGACTATATGTAACATGAACAAAAACATGAGATTCAGTGAAAGAAAGAGAAACTCACTTTCATGCGAATGAAGTCAGGGTTGAAACGCACAGATTCGGCCCAAAGTTTCATCAGCTGTGGGGTGGGAAGCTTTTTAGACACCAAAGCAGTGATGGATTCACTGCTGCCACCCCGTACAACAGCAACAAAGTCCTCCACCATGCTGCCACTTGTTGTGTTCCCTGCAGAGAGACAGAATGGATTCAGTGTTTTAGCATCAGTTCATGGGTCTGACTGGATATTTTGCAGACTGAAGGGAGTTTGATAAAACATGAAACCTCACCTCCCATCTCATTCAACAAGCCATTACAGGATCCACCATGAGCTCCCAACGACACATAAACACCCTTAATGTTGGCCCCAACCTTTAGGCCCGCCTGGGTGCACCGCTTGTAGTCGTCCAAAGAATAATCTAGAACAACAAAACTATGTCATGGAGTGGTTATTGCCGTTCAAAATTATATCATCCTTCACAAACTTGGGCCATGAGGTGGCAATGGTTTATCAGTTTACCACACTAGCCAGTCAGTGTTTAAGATAACAAGACATATATGATGTCACTGCCATTGCCAAACCCCATTATCTGACCATAATAACTATCTTTATTATGCATTCTTTCAACATGTAGTAAATGAAGAAACGGTGAAAGTGAACCAGACTGAGAATGTCCCATGACTCCAGTTTGAGAACCAGTACTATTTATTACCTGAATTCTCCAGCTTCTCCTTGTTCAAAATGATGGTGTGCTCATAGTCTCCTCCAAGGCCAGCCTCTGTGATGTAGTGTGTGCCGTAGTCTCTGTATATCTGTCTGTATTCCCCATACAGATAGGACAGTGGCAAAGCGCGCAGGCGCTGCAGGAACTCAGGGTGAAGCACCAAATCGTCCGACTTCAGCATGTACTGGGCCAACTCCAGCTCTGCTTTGGCCCTCACAAATCTGTTTGTCTGAGGACAGAATCAGTGGGAGGCAGGTGAAGGACGCCTAGCTGCTTGTGAATTTTCAGACATGTTAAACAATTCATGGGAAAAACCGAAAAATGACATACCACATTTGGTTTGTTTTTAAGAAGAAGTGGGTGCACCAGTGGATTGTAAAGAGGTCAGGAGAGAAGAGAAAAACAAACACCATCTCACCTTGCCAGAGAATCTGCGAAACTTCTGAACTGATTTGGTGTATTTCTCATCATTATAGTTGAAGCCAAATTCAAATACGCCAGGAAAGCTGAAGCCAAAGGAAACAGTTGTTTTGGACGTACGCTCTTTCATGGAGAAGTGCGTGTAGTCAGAGTATGAGTTAAAGGACTCCAAGGTGAAATCATACGAGCCTCTTGTCTGCGGATGAGTGGAGAGGAAAATTTATTCTTTAGTGCGAAATGAGCAGGGCCATATTATAAAACAATTAACTGTAAACCAGGCCCGGTTCGAGACTGCCTTAATTTAATAGCTTTATCATATATTATAACTATCACCATATCATGTTTTACTCCTCCCCATTTTAAAAATGTAACACGTTTACTCAGAGACATTTTAACTGACTTACCTTGTACTTTTATCTTTACTTCTACTGTAGTAAAATGTCTTTTCAGTAACAGAAGTTAGTGACCGTTCACCTGCTCATCTCCCGTCAGTTTCTGTCAATTTCTTGCTGCTCTATTTCATCACAGTTAGCGTTGCTGTTTCCTTCATCACAGTGTCTAACTACCTGCTGTGCACTTCAACTTACACTGCAGCACTTAGAGCCTTCTGCTCTGCCACTTTCACTAATTCAGCTGTTGTTTACATGATATTCAGATCAGCTAGTTACTTTAGCTTAGCAGTTAGCGATGGCTTCTCTCTCTCTCTCTTGCTCGGTGTGTCTTGGATCGAGTGTGGTGTTGTGGAAACTTCAGTGTATGGGATTGTGATATTTATTTCAACTTACGTGATGACTGCTGTGTTACACCTGGTTGGTATTTTTCTGTACTGTTTAGTAATAATGCAGTTTTAAATGTTAGCAATCCATTCATAAATCCTTATTATCCTTATATCATTATATGTCAATTAATACATTTTGGTCCAGAAGCTTGCTCGCTCTATTGTGGTGAGTAATCAAATTTTCCACTATTTGTAACCAAAAAGTTGTTGTTATTAATGTCTTATAACTGATCTCTAAAGCATTGGTAAGTCACTTATTACCCATTAATAACACCATTATTTTTGTTTGTTATCACAGAAGAGGCTATAATATCCTAAATCCACTCTAACTCAGCTTCACCTGTTGAGTGTACTGTTGCAAGTTGTAAGGCTTCCTGAATGCGACATTCTGGATGTACTGGGGCAAGCAGCTGCCAGCATAATATCTGTTATCAAGCACCACTCCCTCCAAGTTACTGTTCAAGATGTTGATTCTGAAGGAAGAGTCAAGAAGAGCGTTAACAATGAATAGACTGCTCTGAGCAGAGCATCATGTTTACATAGGAAAGTGCTAAAGAAAATCTCTGACTTACGTTGTAGACTAATGGGAATGTGACTCACCCTTTGGCAAGGTTTTCGATTCCCCAGAACTCGTCAACCTCCTGCCTGCAGGGCTTGGGAACCTCCCTGCAGCCGACTTCATCTGACATGTCCCCACAGTCATCCTCCCCACTACACTGCAGAGTTCTGTGAATGCAGCGACCTGATGGAGAGGAAATAGATGACATTTACCAAAAATTTCTCTTAAAGGAATAGTTTATTCATTTTATGAGCTGCGCCTATTTGATTTCATGAGAGTTAGATGAGAATATTGACACAACTGTTACGTCTCTATGGTAAGTGTGAAGCTGACTATTTCTTGGCCGAGGACAGTGATTTTACTGACATTTAGAGGAGTAGTAAGATGATTTTAACTGTTTGCCCTGCTGCTAGTTTTTATGCTAAGCTAATCGGCTGCTGATAGAATGTGCACATTCAGCCTGTGAATGGTAACTACTTTTGACAAGAAAGCAAATACTGTAAGTGTATTTCCCGAGATGTTGAACTATCTCTTTAAGAACAAAAGCTCTTAAATGCAAAGTAGTTTGACATTTCCTGACTGGGATTAAGAAATGACGTCAGACTCAGAATATTAACGCTCTTCTGTGTGTGACTTGAATTCTTAATCATTATCCCACTGTAACACAAAACTTAATAATCCTGTATGGTTTTCTAAAAGTACAGTATATTTGGATGGGTGTAGGACATACCTGTTTGGTTGCAGAGAAATCCCTCACACAAAGGAGCAACGCTACAGGAGTAGCGGGCTAAATCATTACAGGCCTGGTCCTCGTGGTCATGAAAATTGCACGGCTCTCCTCCAAATTGAGATGGTTGTTGAAGCGTAGCATGGCGATACTGGATGGTTGAGAGAAACAAACACATGGGTGGTCAAAGAAACACAGAGGAAGACTCGCCAAATCCCAATAAAGGTGGTGGATGAGCTCGCGGAAACTGCTCCAGGGAACTATAACCCCCCGAAATCACATTAGTGGGCTGTTTTCACTTTGTCATGTCAAGCTTATTAATCCCCCTCCTTGTAAAGTGGATGAGATGAAGCGCTGAAGTACATCAACTGAGACCTCTGCCAGCAGTGAAGGTCTCTACCTCAAAAGGAAACATTGTACAACATTGAATGCAGAATCCAAATCTAATCTTCTTTATGACAACCGCTGCATTACAACCATATATTTAGTTCATTGCAGTCCATTAAAACCAGGGTTTTGTTTTGTGTAGGCTTTTTATTTGATGAGTTAAGTTAATGGTTTTTAGTTAAAAGTTTTAAATTTTGTATATTAAAATATATTATTTGCTTTCTTGCTGAGAGTTAGATGAGAAGACTGACAACAATTTCATGTAAGCCCATAATTTTTTATATATATTTCTCCTGCCACTGAATAGAGGAAGTAGATTGAGGAGCTCGTTGAGAGGATGCTGCCATCAGATGTTTTCATTAACGTATTCACTGGCTTTCCCACATTAGGGGGAAACAATGAACTTTGTGTTTCTCTTTGTTCTAAATGAAACATAGATTTAGCACAAGCAGCTGTTTCAGTCATGCTTCACAATCATTGGCTCATTCACTCTTTCACATGTGGCTATCAGCTGACTGGTAATGTCCAATCTTATTCATGCAGGTGTGCAGGACATGAATTATAGCAATACAATACAGTACAATCTATGTGCTATTTTTATTATCTTGCTGATTTAACTAAGATTTATTGTGTATGTGGTCGTATATATGGTGATTTCACTCCTTGTTAAAAACAAATGCCAACAAATGCAGGCCATGTATTGTAGCTGTAATGTTCCTCCACGTTCACCATCACCTGTCTAGTATCATCATACTTACTCTTTTCTTCTGACAAGTGTCACAGCGAGACCATGTTGTCCATTTTGATAAAACACAGTCCTTTACGACCTGCTCACCCACCGACCGAGCTTCACGAACACTGGGCTCCTCGTGGCTCGCTGTCGTGACTCCAACTTCACTGTGACATTTAGATGAAAGTCAAATCAAAACAAATGGACAGTTTTTAGGTTTTGTCCTGTCCTATAGCAAGTGTCTTGCTTTAGGACAGGCTACTGACAAGGGTCAATGTGAATCAACGGGTCTTTGACAGCAGGACAGTCACATTAGTTAACCTTAATGGAAATCAGATGACAAGAAATACAGACAACAAATTGTATGAAACAGACAAATAAAACTCCTACCTTATGAGCACCAAGATCAACGTAACATGGAGAAGACAGGAGTGCAAACTGAGTGCACTCCTGGGTATCACCACAGAGAACATGGTTGTGTATGTCTGACTGTGCACAAGGAGACAGCACTGCTCTGCTGTCTATGTAAACACACACTGATCAATACTGGCCTAGATATGAACTCATTGGTGCCATTAGACTCAGAGGTGGAGCTGAATACACAACACTGCAATACTGCCTTCAAGGCCCCAAAACTCAGTGTCGGGGGGGCGCTGAAGGTTCATGTTTAGAAAAACTATGAAGACAGCACTACAACAGCAGCATGTCTCAGAACATCATCCACTTTTATCTGTTATATAATTATAAGATAACTACGAGCAGCTCTGTAATGAACCTGGACTGGTGGAAATAAAAGGGTTTGCATTAAAGTGAATTCCCGTCACAAAGCTTGTGTGATCAAAACATCTGAGTCATGTTTGTGGAGTTATGACCTTAAAACTTTGTCCACTTGATTTGGACACAACTACATGACCCTGCTGTAGTTTATTAACTCAGCCAAGAGCAGCACTAAACTAATAATATCTAAAAATATTACTAATAATGAATTAAACACTTTGCTAAGATCTGGTATCACTGCATTACAGTGCAGGGGTGGAAAGTGATTTCTTTTCATTTCTCCACAACATTTCAGAGGGAAATGTTGTATTGCTCTACAGTTATTTGACAGCTTGAGTTACTGGTTACTTCTCAGATTACGATCCGTAGGCTACAAACACAGGATGAGTTTACGAAATACACTGCATTGTAAAAGGTTAAAACAGAGGTAGCTAAACTTTTTGGCTTGTGATCCTTTACAAAAAGCAGATGTCTGTGAGTTGGTCACTGTTTCACCAAAAGTGATTTCCCCATGCAACTTCTCAGATGGCTTCATAAAAAAAAAAAAAGCTCTTTCAACAAGGAACATTTCACAACAAAAGCAAAGACAAGAAAAAAAAAAGTCTAGGAGAATCTATATGTGTATCCTGAACTTTGCTCTTTCTTATACTCAACTGTATGTAAAGTAGTTAAAACTAGATACTTCTTCTACATCAGCAACAGTTTAACAATATATTACAGGAACCATTTTTCCACATAACGAGTACTTTTTTTGAGTAGTGAGTACATTTTTCTGGTAGTTCTTGAGTTGTGCAAGATTTTGAATGCAATATTTTTACTTTATATACATATATATATATATATATATACATATATATACATATACGCTGTGTTTCAAAGACAGTGTGCTACTGCGTGTGATTAACAAGCACAGAAAGGAGCAATAATTGTGCTGTATTAGCACATAAGTATTTACATGACAATGACGGACTGCACACAGGATTTCTCCAGTATTAGTGTGAGGAGAGCAACCTCTGTTGGCTGCTCTTGTGGTCGTTACAGTAGATCATTAGAGAGATGCTCCCAGGTTAAGGAAAGAAAGGGAAACCAAGCAGAAGAGTGGGAATCACATGATATTTTATTTGTGACTGAACAGTGGCATGGGTACAGTGTATGGGGAAGTCATAGACGTACAAAAGTCCTTTTTTCTCTTTTTCATGACAATTCTTAATTCCATAAATAAAATTTACAAAATATTTTTGGACTATTTCTCATTTTTCTTACACGAGCAGGGGTACAGTTAGGCTACCTTTTGTTATTGTAAGTCTAGCAGTTAATAGTGGTATCTCTATTGTTCATATTATATAAAGTTTCCTTTATTTTTGATCATTTTGATTCGGTGGAGCAGACCTACAATATGCCCAAGTGCTTTGTTACAACAATGACCTCTTTACTGTATACAAGGAACTGACAAGAAGAACAGTGAATCGACAACAAAAATAAACCTGATAAGGCATAGAAATGCACTCTACTGTCTGTGCGCTTGTGGTTTTTAAGCCATGTCATATCAGAATGGGTTTATTCTGCTCTGCTGTCCAAGAGACCAAACAGAGATATGATTTTTGAGAGGCAAATTGTAAACAATGCGACCTTAGTTGGAAATGTAGAATATCTAAAAACAAAGAGATGCAGGAAAATCTGCGTCCTGTTACTAAAAAAGTCTGTGACTTTTTAGAAGTAGCAGGATTTTTGTTTCAACCCCTTCGTTTCTTTCATCTCTCAAGTTCATAGTAAGTGAGACAGGTTCAGCAGGCTTTATTTTGAATGACCATGTAACACAGATTCACAGTTCATATCTCACCGACCGAACAGAAACAAAGACATTTTCAGAAATTAAAAAAAAAACAAACAAAAAAAAAATGGCTGCAAAAGCGAAACAAACATCCAGACGTCAAAGATGGAGGTGCTGGTAGGGCATTGCTTGAGAGAAACACAGGTAGTTGGCATCCAAGAGGCAGAGAGCTATGTTATGGCACAGAGGCTCAGGTATTGGGGGGCTGGGGAGTTTCTTATTTACAAAATAGATGTTTGGCAAATTTTGATTTTGACGTTGATGCCTCCAAGTCATTTCGATATCCCTAATGACTTGGTGTCATCAACTCAGAATTCACAGCTTATAAAATAAGAAAAAAGAAAACTCATATCTTTTGATTTGTTTCAGACCCAGGAGGAAGCTGCAGAGAACGGTTTCGCTCACAGCCGAGTCAGCTGAATCCACATTAAGTCTGTTCATGCAAATGGTCGAGTCGGTGGAGCAACACTATGAGAACATTTGGCAAATCCATCTGCTGCGCACAGTCTTTGCTGGTGGCAGTTGACAAAATGAAGGTCAACCACATACGGTAGGACGCTGCTCCTTCTTGAACGTCTCCAAAAAATAATTTGCATCATCAGTGTCACCATGGCCTTTTCACATATCCTCACAGATATAAATCCATCACAGGAGGAAGCAATCGCCTCCTGTTGTAGGTTTCGGTCAAAGATCAAAGGTCACTTCCTGGTTGAAAGGTTATTTGATTGGACGATAAAGCCAAAGTCTGGTTGTCATGCTGAGGAGTGCAGTACAGTATGTGGCCTCTGGAGCAAAGCAGATCCTAGGACAGCCAGCTTATTACAGAACTGCCAAAATATCCTTTAAAGGTTGAAAAGAAAAAAAAACAGAACAAGTCTGTGTAATCCAGCTGTGTGAGATGCTGCTGTTCACAGTCACTTCTCTCTCTTTTCCTCTTTCTCATGAGCTTCTATCTTGGCCTTGAGAGCTTCCATCCCCTAAAAACAAACAGCAATTACTTACAAAGCATGAAGCTGCATCGGTGCAGTTACAAATCTGACCTCCAGGTGGCAACATTGTGCCTTCCTTGCCTTTAATTTGGGTGACGCAGAGGGGCATAATGACTGAAACACTCAACTAAGCCAAGGCTGTTTTCCAACTGGCAGAAAACCGCTCATCCACAAGGAAGAAGGAGACACATGAGGGAGACAAATGAAAATATAGAGCAAATAAAGAAACGCAGAGAGGGGGTTATGAAACAGTGAGAGAGGACGAGTAGTTGGACATTGGAGATTAAAGAAGAGCAAAGGAGGAAAGACATGAAATGCCACTATGTGAAGAAAGTCGATCAAATCAGAGCAGAGGGAACCATGATATACCCACTCAGTTTGTTGTTCTCTAGCTGTCTTCCTGTGCACAGGTCTCATCCTGCGTAGGATCAGGAGCTCCACTGGGCGCCGGAGAGACCGACCTCGCAACATCAGAGCCCTGAGAGAGAGAGAGAGAGAGAGAGAGAGAGAAAAATAAGATGTGAAATTTCTATTCTGAAGATTATTTACTTATTAAAATCAACTCAGTGTGAAGTGATTTCCTCATCAGCCAAACATTTAGCAAAATAACAGCAACTATAATCTAATCAACACACTTATATCATCTTTGACCTTTCATGCTTAATTGACTTGACATTTTTCTGAAAAAGGGTAAAAATCAATCCTTTTCGGTATCATATTAATCACATGACATTCTACTCTGTGTAATTACATGCGATGTAGTTGAGAGCGGATGATCCATATGACAATAACAGATTATAGCATCATGATTCTTTATTGACCGGGCTGTGACCCAGGGTGACGGCGCTCACCGATTGTTCCTCCTTGTCGTTGCTGGCGCTGCCCTCCGGGTCAACAGGGGAGTGATCTGTGGGGGGGTCACTGGCCTGGGGTGGGGGGCAGTCAGAGGAACAGCTCTGATGAGGGGCTGGAGTGGATGCTGCGAAGACAGACAATAAGAATAAAACTTTCAGTAAATGCATCAATGAAAATATTCATGAGATACAATAAGACACATCAACTTCCATTTGTATAATTTTTTCAAAATGTGGACTGTTTACTGTTTGATGCTAATCTGTCCCGTGAATATATTTTAGCATCAAGCTAGTAACATTCATAACGTATACTGAGAAGAGGTGGATCTAAATCTAGATCATGACCTTTATTGCACATCATCTCTCCTACTTTTTTTCTATTATACCTGACATTCTGTATTCTGTACACCATCAAATAAAACACAACTCTGTCTGTCTTGCCAAAGGTCACTGGAGTTTCAGTTTTCTTTTTTGTGAGGCACAATCCTGTAGGAATCTCAAGTTAAACATTTAACCTGATGATGACAGAGGACGAAAAATCTGGAGATCACCAAAATTACAACAATTCATCCTGTGCAGAAATGAAATTAGAGGACCAAATTTCATGGCAATGCATCAAGATATTTCACTCAAAACTACAAATGTCAACCTGCATAAGTCAGTTCGATGCATCATCTGGGAACCATGAATGTGGCACATCATTTTGTGCCAATCCATTTTGTAAATGTTGAGATATTTCACCGAACAAGTTCATCTGTCATCCAGCTGTTGCCGCTGGATGAAAGGTCAGGGGATCACCAAAGCCATTATGATTCATCCTCTGGGGACCATGTACATCGGCACCAAATTACATGTCAATCCATCCGATAGTTAAAGTCAAGATATTTCACCAATACCCAAAAATATCAACCTCATATTGGTGCGTGAAGAAAACGTGAATAAACCTGGGCAACATGAATATCTGTAAAATGTTTGACGGCATTGGATCGAAGAGATTAAGTTAAGATAGTCCGGTCTGGAGCACAGTGGTGGACAGAACGACACAGCTTTATGCTTTTCATATAATGTGCAACAGATGTTGGTTTAGTCATCAGTGTTTATGCAGTAGCACAATAACTGAGGAAACTTACGTGATTCAGTGGATGGTGATGTGGATGTACCCGGGCTCAAGGTCATCCTAGAGAGGTCAAGGTCGCTACAGCTCCCTTCCTCTTCCTGGGCTGCAGCAGATGAAGGTGGCAGCAGCTGACTGCAGGCCAGTGTGTCCGGTACACTCATGAGGCCTGGGGTCCCACACCTGCTCACCGCTGCTGACGCGACGCCAGGTCCCACACCTGCTGCTCCAGCTCCTGATGTAGAGGGGCCCTCGCCTGCGTCTGAGTCCGCGCCGAGGCCCTCTTTACCCAGGCTCAGCTGCCTCTGGAGCAGGGCGGGGTCGGCCGTGTGCTGGGGGCTGGTGATGGCTGAGGACGGGGCTGATAGGTCGCAGGCTTGGGGGCACATGGTGGTAATTGGAACCAAGCCTTGGAGCATGGCAGCTGGGATGGCATGGCCCCCCACGCCCACAGTCTGGGCCGGCATGTAGGCCGCCATGGCCGCCCACTGCTGTTGAGCGGCGGGGAAAATGTTGGCCTGGCTCCAGATGACCGGCTGACCACCGGGGAGGACCTGAGCCACCTGGAGGGGCCCCTGCACGGGGAAGGCCAGAGTCTGAGCCTGGGCAGGAAACGGCTGCTGCGCCCACTGGGCCGCCTGCACCGGCCCCATGGTCATATAACCTGGAGGAAAAAAAAGAAGGAAGGAAATGATTAAAGGATATTAAGGCAGTAAAAGGAGGTAAAGACCATTATCATTACTATGAGCACAGAATACATTTTGCCTCCTGTGATTACAAGCTCAACACATTGATTTTCAAAATTACAGCATGTTCCTCTGTCAATACTGTTGTTTTGCAATCTTTGTGTAACAATGAGAGCCATTTAATGTTTTATCAATGCCTAATAGAAAAAAGAATTTTAAAGCTTCCTATCCTTAGACTCAGCTGATGGATGTGGTGGATTTTCTTGTCAGTGTCCAACAGGCTTGTGACCCACTTTGGGTCATGTTTCTTAAATCAAAGACCACAGTCATGGTGCTGAATAATGCAGCCTATTAGCTACAAGTTGCACACACTTTTCATTTCAGTTTTTACATAGATTTCCAGCCTTCCAAACAGCCAAGGGCTTCCACTGATTTCGCTTCCAAACTTGCTTCACAAGATGGTGAAAAAACAATATCGAGAAAAAGCACCCACACACTTATTACTAAACTTTCTTTTTCTTCAATTTATGTTAATATTGCATGGTAACGCAGTCGCAATCAGGGACTGTTTTGAAAAGGCCTCCTTCTTGGAGCGTTCCAGGAAAACAAGTGAAATTTGAGGGTCAGCTGCTGAAAGCACTGACTTCATGTGTTTTATTATCACAGACAGGCACACTGGGAAAAAGGATAATGAGAGTGTGCCTGTTTATTGCAATGAAAACGCCACTGTTTGGTTAGGCTGCTGTTATGAAATGATGCTGGGACGTTGTTGAATGAATGAAAAAATACCTGCTAGCAAGTGTAATACTATGATGAAGAAGATGATTTTATGTCTCAAGGAAATTTCAAGTGTCTGCAAGTTGATTTTCATTTTGTAGTGAAATGAATAGAAAACAATAGAAGGGTAGGAAAGCAATATACTTAGGATATACTTTTGAAAATGGCGCATGGTAGTCGAAAACATTGCGAATTGGAATTAAGTGATGTCGGGTAAATGGAAAAATCTAAATGTTAAAAGATTTTATTCAAATATGCAAAACCACTGATACGGTCCTTTAAGAGACATCTCGGCTTACAGCGTAATGACACTGCTGCTCGATGTGTGGTCCTCAGATAAATCCACATGCTGCTTAATCCTGGCAAGGTTTTTCACAAACCAACCATCAAAAAAAAAAAACATCCCTTTAACAGTGTTTTTTTTCTCTCTTTTATATTTTCCTCTGTGGAAAAGATGCAGCGTTTCATTCTGGGTACCTACCTGACGGCACAGAGGTGGGGCTGAACGGGGCGTACATCTCAGCAGCAGTGTGTTGCTGCTGCTGGCGGCTGCTCCTGCTAGGGTCCAGTGTGTTGGCAGGTGATGGAGGCATCTGGGAGGCAAAGCACACACACACACACACACACACACACACACACACACACACACACACACACACACACACACACACACACACACACACACACACACACATGTCACAACTATCAAAGTCACCCAAAAGTCACTGTGCTGCACATTTATCTTTAATCTGCAGTACTGTCGCACATTTGGGCCAATTTAGATCTCTGCAACTGTTCTGTTCTGATGAAATGACTGAATTACAGACAAAATGTGATTTTAATATCTCCAACTCTGCAAACCTAAAAGGGGGTTTGATATGTGTGGTCGTACTCACCGAGGGAGGAGTGGACATGTCGCCGAAAAGATCAAAGTGGTTGATATTCTGTGAGTCAAACCAAGGGACGAGGGAGAGAGAGAGAGAGAGACAAAGTCCAGTGATACATCACAACAATGAGATTTGCACAGTCATGAAACCTTGAATTCATCTCCAAATAGGGTATGGTGGTTGCATGGGTGGGTAGGTGTGGGGAGTGAAATCTATTCACAAAGACAGCCTGTGCTCTGGATGGCAAGAAACAACTATCCCCTCGTTTCATTATCAGAAAATGGATCTAAAATGAATCTTTCATGGCTCGGTATAATTGAGTGGGTAAAAGGCTATTCAGTCCTATAAAACAGGCTCTGATTAGATATTCTTATGTCTGCCAATCAAGAAGGGCCCCCATGAGAGCCCGGGCCGCTTTATCATGCTGATTCTACCCTGTGAGCTGATATATACACAAGAGGAGTGTGTTTATTTCATCGAAGGAAAGAAAGAAGAAGCTCCTGGAACCACCCAACCGAGACAATGAGGCCACCTCACCCTATAGGCAGACGTGACCCCGGCTCTAGTCCCCTCTGTGATCCATTCGCACTACTTAAAGGAGAGGGGACGCGGCTATGGGCAAGACTATGGGATGGCTAAGTTGCATGAAATGTCTCTGGGGCCATGCACAAGCAGACAATGAATCACCGTAAAAGCACAGAAACACACAGAAACACAGAGGATTTGCATGCTATAAATAAACAGATAGAAAGGCAACGTATTTAACGAAAGAAAGGAAAGGAGAGAATCACAGCAATCAGTGTTGCACATAAACAGGGGTGTTTATGTCTCCCTTGAATAAGCCGGGACATGGCGGATCGCACAGTTTGCACAGCACTTTGGAACCATTGAGGGGCACAGAATGAGTCAGAATTTGGAAAAAGGTAAACATTGTACACAGAGGTCTCTCCCTGCAGGCACTGACACACATCAGGGGAGTTCGAGGCTCTCAAAAAGCTCCAACTGAATGAACAGACAAGCAGTAACACTTAGAGATATGGAGGCGCTGCTACTTATACTGGCATGGGCTGTTTGGGCGAGATAGCGAAGGGGGTCGGGACAGTTTATCTGCCTGATATGCTGAACAACAAGCACACAAACAGTGAAGAGTAGAGAGGCACTTTGCTAGGGCTGTTTTCAAAAGTTGTGTGGAAATTCTTTCTGGGTGAATGTTTGGGCGAAATAGGCTTGAATAAATGTTTTTTATAAGCGATTTGAGAGATGTAATAGCGTGGTCACGGCATGGTGGTGAAGAACTCATAAAACCTACCAGGATGAGATGAAATATATTTGCAGTTTGATGACAGGAGGGGAAATCAAAAAATGCTTTTTGTGCTGTTTTCTGATCAAACCAATTCACAAGAGAAAAATATGAAAAATATATCTCTATTCATTAAGGTACAGCTTCCATGAGTGTTCGGTGGCCTTGATTGTATGTAGCCGTGACTTCACTGCATGCAGCTCAACCCAACACCCACCCCACCTACAAACCTCTCGTCCTCATCCTCTGAGGAAGATAGCACAGCCACCCCTTTATTCATCTAGTCATACCAGTAAAAAAAAAAAACAAACAAACAATGGGAGCAGCAAACACACTCCATGCTGATTTTGTCTCAACCATCTGGTCACGACATGCGTCAGATTCCGCACAGGATTGGATTTTGGATACGAAGCCTGCCTCTCTAATGTTCTGTGAAATTGTTGACATGTCTGATTTTGGTCGACCAATCAGTTAGTCTTATCTCTTCAAGCAGGCTCGGCATGACCAATGTAGCTTTGTTTCATCATCATCATCATCATCATCATCATCATCATCATCATCATCATCACAGAAGGCGGATGCAGACACACACCTCTGTCTGAATGTGATTTAGAGCCTGTTGCGTATTAAAGACAATGGAGCTAAATATTACAAATGGACACTGTCAAAGGGGGCCAAGGCACTTCCTTCCAGAGGATCTTAAAGAGAGGTTTGCAAGTAGAAGAGTAAAGAAACAAATAATAGAAAATAAAAACACCTACAGTCATGAAATGGCGTTTTGGGACATCATAGATCCCTTCCTTCTGCTGACTGGTTGGGACCTGCATTGGATTGGAGGTCGATTCAAATGTAAGAAACAGAGAAACACCTTTTTTCTGTTTTCTTTTTTTTTCTTTGACAGGCTGGGTATTTAAAACAGGAGCTTACAAGAACTGAAAAATGTCTATTGAAGTAGAAAAAGCTACATCAATTTGGAATTAGCCCATTATTATAGAGAGGAATTTTAACGTTTAGAGCAATGGGATTATGCAAATTCTACAGTTGTGCCGTTGAATCAATTCTACTTAAATCAATATTGATTGCAAACAATGCTGGTTCTGTGAGTATTAAGAAAGCCGATTGTTATTCTGCACCAGTATGTCTCAACTGGTTCATCTGACAATAGGAAGATGCCTCAGCTCCGGCCTTCTTTGTATATTTCTCCCACATTTATCCGAACTATCTATTGCTCTTAACATCGCTGCCTGTCTCTCCAAATGCTCCCTTGACTGGTTAACTCTCCGTTACGTTTTCCTCAAGTCTATTGATCTTGTTTCATTCTGAGATCAAATGGCATGGCGAGTGATTAATCTCTCTCTCTGAATCTTTCATCTTCAGAGGAATGCAAGATACAGAGAGGCAAAAAGAGCAGGAGGAGGAGGAGAGGGAGAGAGAGGGAGGGAGGGGGGTAGGATTAAATCATACGACAGGTCCCTAGAGTCCTCGCTGGTCCTTCAAATGGTCTAAAATCAAAAGGTCAAAGTGTTGGATATATAAAAGGAGCCTGGTCTACAGGCCTTGGGTAAACTACCCAGACTAAACAACTGACCTTGACTCTGCTACAGCTGTTTCAGACAATACATGAGGCATTGTACATTTTAAACATAAAGATGCTGCCTTTTTATTTTGAGCATATTTAAGATTTTCATTAAATCAGATCCCATTTTTGTTAGCGGTTGTTTAGCAATAACCATTCAATGTATTTACATTCAGTAATTACCTCTCTAAATAGCAGGTTTGATTGTTACTGACAGACTCTGCTGTCCCCTTGTTGGATTTAAATTGCCTTCAAATGCAGGAGGGATTCACATTAAATGGTAATTGGATATAATCAAGTGATGTTTATAATTTTATTTCATTGATAACAGCTTCTCTGTTCACTCTCCTAACCCCACACCAGAGCTATATTAACTTACTGCTAATGCAAAGCGAAAATACAGCTGCTGCTGCTGCTGCACATCAAAAGCGTTCCACTGGTAAAAACTGGGGTGGCTTTTATTGTAAAGAAGCCACAGGAGACAGGCACAACAAAACAGAACCCTTAGTTTGAGTTACTTCTGAATCTCCAAAAACAATCTGCACTTTGTAACTTCTTTTATAAAAGTTGTTAGTAATGTCACTATTATAATCTATCACAGGGTATCAAGAGGGGGGGGAAAAGGGGGGGGGGGGCAATGCTTGTCTTTGTACCTGATAAACGCTCTCCTCTGACTGGGGGCCACGGAGGGGTTCGTGTCCAGCCTCAAACACTATGTACTACAGAACAGAAGTAGTGGGCAAGGCGTAGAGGTGCAGAGAATAATGAGATGAGAAGACAGAGAGAGAGGGAGAGAGGTTGGCATATAAAACAGAGAGATACAACAAGGGAGTGATACATGATGTGAATAAATGAAAGCACAGGGGAGTGAGGGTGGCGGCAAGTGAGGAGTGAAATGAGATCAGGAATATAAAGGGTGTAAAAGTAAAAAAAAAGAAAAAAAAAAGGGGGCATATGAAAGAGGAATGGGGTGGTGAAGAGAGAAAGAAAAAGAGTGAGGTGGGGAGAGGAAAGAGCACAAGTATAATAGGTCAGGCAGTAGTTCAAGGCAATGTGGAGGTCTTAGCTCAGCAACGTGAAGCTCCACCTCTTTGAGAGAAAATAGAGCCGCAGGTCAGAATATTGGCTTGAGATCCATGACTGAAGTCTCATAAGTCCTCAAATCTGTCAGTATCTCCTCTGAGGTGGATATAAATAAATGCCTTTATGGATCTCAAAATAAAGTAATAGTTTGGCATTTTGGAACATACCAATGTTACCGAGAGTAAGATGAGAGGAAAGAAACCTTTCTCATATCTGTATGGTGACTGTTTAGCTGGAGCAAGCACCTGGTTAGCTTAGCTTCACATAAAGACAGGAAATTGGGAAATAGCTAGCTAACTAACACGCTATATCTAGTTTGTTTAATCCGTACAAAAATTGAAGTGTAAAAACAACAATTTGCTGTTTTCACAGGGGGCAATGTGCTGGACTATTTCTTGGTAGCAAACAGCGGAAGGAAGGACTCCAGGAAGTCACTCGTCCCACCCAAGAAGTAGTCCGGCACATAATCCCCCCTAAAACAACAAACTGTCATATTCACCCCTCGGTTTTTGTACATATTAAAAAAATGTAATGGTGAATTTAAGATGTGGATTTTGTTACTTTTGAACAGAGTCAGCTAGCTGTGTCCCCCAGTTTCTAGTCTTTATGCTAAGCTAAGATAGCATAAAGACAAACACACAGATATTAGAGTGGTATCCACCCTCTCATCCAGCTCTCAGAAAGAAAGCGAATAAGTGCATTTCACAAAATGTCAAATTATTCCTTTTACGACTCTGGCCACAGTCTGGAGTTTTGTCAACCAACATCAACATAAATTGAAAAACTGCAAATGGAATGACTTTATGCAAAAACACACTTCAAGAGCAAAGAACAGAGGTGATCTGGGAGGTGGTTGGACGTACTACTGAACATAGCATTCAGAGTAAGAGTTAGTGTTGTCTGTATTCAGTGTGAGCAAACACAGAGAAAAAAAAATCATCATGTTCAGCCAAATAAATGCACAGGGCAAAAAAGAGAGGTGGTGGTAGGGGGGGGGGTAACAACCAGTCCGGGGTGGGGGCATATCTTTGGAAGAAATCAGAAACATTGACACAGATCAACTTAAAAAATATGGTTTTACAACACTGCACTGGCAAATGGGAGTTGAATGGTTGAACAAAACTGTCCACTAGGATGGTCTACTGTGTATTACTGGAATGGTGGAATATCATGAATCATTAATTCAAGCAGATCAGTGACTGGAGAAGATATTTAAATTAAGGATTAATTGTTTTTTTGTTGTTTTTTTCTTTCTAATTCAAAGCTTTAAAAGTGAAAACAGCTCCAGTGAAGCTAGAAAAGCATCAAAGTCAGCAGTGTCTGGTTCCTGCTCTGTGTGCCTGTGGACCTACCTGGTAAACTGGATCATCCACTTCGTCCTCCAGGATGGTCTGTGTGGGTTTAGGACAGAAGGCAGACGACACATTTTGTAATTTTGAGAATTCACAGTCTCATTCGAAAAGAAATGGACAAAGATCAGAGAACAAAATAAATTAATCTAAGTCTTTTCCATCAAACAAACACAATGACAGTGTCTTGAGTTTTAATGAAACAGCGATTTGCTGTACCACAAACACACCAACACATACAGTACATTTCCTGTCACACACTGTCTGATTCCCGGGGGGGAAAAAAGCATCCAAACCTGTCGCACTTCTATTATATTTAGACGTTCAAACCAGAAATCAGTGGTGCAGACAAACACAGTCTGTGGTGCACTTGAGACAAGCTTGAAAGTGTTAAGATTTCTGTTGTGTGAATGCATTGCTGGCTGAGTTATAGTGTGTGATCTCGCCACCAAATGGGAAATGAAACTGAGAAAAAAAAGTGTCCTACCTGGTAAACCGCCTGCTCACACTGTTTGTCCTTCTGAGCCTTTTTCTCCATCTCCTCCCGCTGTTTAATATCGTAGATGAGCGTGAAGAGGTCGCGCAGGTCAATGATGAGAGGCTCCGCCTGAACGGGAGAAGTGGAGAGAGAGAGAGGGAAGAGGAAGAAGAGGAGGATATGGAAAATTAATGAGGAGAATTTAGAGGAAGGAAATTGGGAATGTGAGAGAAATGGTTGAAGGAAGAAGCAGGGAAAGACGGGGACGGGTATAGCAAGAAGATCCAGCAGAGCAAAGAGCAATGAAGAGCAGTGTTAGGGAAGATGAAGATAAGTATGAAAACAGGTAGAAACAGAGGTAGAAACAGAGGTGGTAGACGGACAAATGCAGTACAGGAAGGATCTTAACATTTTTACAGAAAATGAGCTTAAACCTTTCAGCAATAATAAAAACAAACAATTAACCCTCAAACAGAACTCTGAGGTGGGTAAGAGGAAAAAACATTTTTCCTCTGTGATCGGTGTATTTGTTAATGTGTTAGCCAATATTTATTACAGGCTTTTTATTTATTTCTAATCATCCACCAGGGTGCCTGAAATTGGATTGTTCACACCACACTCTCCCCATGTATGAGGACATACTTTTTCCTCTTTACAAGGGGCTATTCATGAGTTTTCTCTGCCACTGAACATGGTTTCTTGCCGGAGGTGGTGGTGATTGTCATTTCGACAAGGGTCAGACTAGAGGCTACAGTGACTCGCTATCAGAAAAGTGATGAGATGGGCCGGGGCTAGCTGGTTAGCGTGCTAACTTCAGTAGAAGAAAAGACGTGATAGAGACAAGAGTTAACATTGGCGTTGCTTTCCACCACTGGAGAAAAGGAATGAAGCTTGATGCTGAACTCGCAGCGTTTCTTCTAGACTGGTAAGTAAACAGCTGTTACTGCTAATGTTAGCTATGTAGCTATAGCAAAAATTACAAATAAACTTTAAATTATGTCTTCTCCTTATTTTTTACCTAATGATTATGTTTTTGTTATGGGAAGTTACCTTTATGTATTTCATGTATTTAATTAATGTATTTTTATTTTACTTACGTATTTATAGATTTTTATAGATTAATGTTATTTTAGGTGGTAAACTCACTTCGCTTCCTACACTGTTTAAAGCACCATTTGTGCACTCCACACTTTTCCGCTGGAGTTCCTCAGTAAAGTTTGAAGATCTGTAGACTTGACACATGAGACTTGAACTTGAGACACTCAAGAAAAATGAGGATGTTACTCCCCCAAGACTTGACTTGGGACTTGAAAGCAAAAACTGAAGTCTCAAATTTTAACCAGAAGAAGTTCTGCTGACAGTGCCAGGTGGGCCGTGCAAAGCCACACAGCTTGAATATTTAATTGCGAGGCCTTTGCAGTAAAAAGACTTGGTCTCAGTTACATTAAAAAAATTACTGATTTTACACACATTTAAAAGGAAAATGTCAAATTTATTAAATACAAAGACTTGCATCATAACATACAAATCTGCTGATGGAGTCTTGACTTGACTTGGTACTGCCCGCAGGGACTTGGACTTGCCTCCAAAGACTTAAACTTAGCCGTGGCAGAGTGGGAAAGTACTCACCGACTGTGCAGTCTTGATGGCCACAAACCTGTGGTGGCCCTCCTTCCCACAGACATAGCCGAAGGCTCGGTGGTCCCTGGTGTCCTTGGCGATGTAGCTGATCTCATGGACTGAGTGGTGATGCAGGAGCACCTAGATGACAGAAATGTGTTTGTATAGATGAGACCATGTGGGCCAGGAGAAATATGGTAGTCACACATCTACTGTATGTTCTTTTTATTCCTAAAGATGCAAATAAAACACGTCTCGTTTCATTTGAAAATCTGCCTTTTGATATAATGTTTAACATTGAGCACTGTAGACTGTTTGGCAGGAAAAGTAGGTCAACGCTACTTTAAACATCTTTGCATATTGTTAAGCCAAATGCAACCAACCAAAACAGAGTGAGCCTAAAAGTCTCTGACAGACGCAGCAAAGATTCAAGGGTGTTCAAGTCTCTGTTACACAATGCGTCACAGATGATATGGTCGCTATAGAACTGGTTCTCTGTCATCAACAATAAGAATCCAATAACATTTTGTTTGTTTGCTTTTCTTCTGTGTTTATGTCCATCTTTGATACGAGCAGGATTAGAGATGCTTTGATTGTTCACCCAGCATTGCTGTAATCCTACTGTATGTATTCACGCCATGGGTGGCCAATGGGCAGCTCTGAAATACCAGGCAAAAACCAGGCCCCCGAAAAAGCTCAGAAAACATAACTACACACCCATAAATACACACAGACTAATTGAGCTGTCACTCAGGCACACCTACCTGCTGCTCCTCTATTAGCAGAGATAAGCGCAGGCACTGAGGAGGAGCTTTTATTTGAATATTAGCCGATACTCAGTCCCTGGTAACGCCTCAGATTAATGTAAAATACAAAACTAATATGACTAGTCTACTCGATTCAGCAGAGAATCATGTCAGCTTTACATAAAGTATTTCCATCTAAACGCTTGCTGACGCTGGCTGCGCTGGAGTGATCCCCATTTCCACCATAATCACTCAAGAGGGATATTAAGTGTGGAGTGTTATTTACCGCCAGTAATCAGTAAATAAAATGAAGAGCATTAGGGGGCATGATTTCCAAAACAACAAATGAGCTTGTCAAAAGCTGGTGAGCTGGTTGGTGATGGCGGGAGGCTTAATGTTCTTTTTCATTACAGGCGAAAGACACGCCACTATCACCAGCAGTCATATTGAAGAGAGATATTATCAAAGATGGGTGTTTTTTTGGGGAATAAACAGTTGGTGGTTGGGTGGGGGTCGGCAGCCACGGGACAAGCGCTGTTGCGTAATTATCAGTTTAGCACTAACGACAGCTGAGGTGGAGCCGCGGTGTAATTAGCATTAGCGGCAATGATCATTAAGGGGTGGAACTGACTGCTAATTATCGGTTAGCGCTGATGAGCAGAGTGGGCCTATCTAGCCAACACTACGCCCCAGGACGGGGGAGAGCCGAGCCCCTCGATCATCCTGTAATGGAACAGCAGGCCTCTGAGTCCGCCAGGGGGATGGAAGCCAGGATGGAGGCGGAAACAGCCCGTCTCATAACATCACCATAACATTGCTCACTGCGCTATCATTAGCAGGCAGACAGGGCCTGAGTGATCTTAAGTAGGTCCTGCAGCATACCCCTAATCTTACTCGGGTGTATGTTAAACCGGTTAAGGTCAGGGTCAAATATCAAATGCAAGACCTGCAATTTAATGCTGTCAAGTTCAATCTTTATGACCAAAGGGTAAACTGTCCAGTGAAAACATGTTATTGCTTTTTTTTTTTTTTTTGCATTGATGTTTTGGAGAAGAATTTAGATCTTTTTTTTTTTTTTTGCAGATGCAACAGTGAAAACAGCACATTTTGTTTCCGCACAACCTTGTGAATCATATTACCTCTGTGCAGGTATTGCCGCTGTACTAATATGTCAACCGTGCCAACCAGGCTTACAAGATGGCGGCCCTGGCAGCCGTTGTGAACTGAACCGTGCAAGCGTCTGCCCTCTGGATGTCCTATACCGCGGGTCCACAGAACAGCAGCTGGCAGAGGCCTCACGGTGCAGCTCTGCCACGGCGGGCCCACTCGCTGACATGTTACTCACCCCTGATCTTTCACAGTAAATCTTGATCCCGCCGAAAGAGACCGTCAGGAAGACTCTCTGCTTGTGCTCCCCTTTGGAACGTGCCGAGGAAGCCATTCCCTGAAGGACGTTAAAGGAAATGACATGAGGAGATGAAAGGATATGAGCTCAGCATGAAAGATTGCGAGCTTTCTTCTCTTCCGACTCAGGTGTGTGTAACAGTGGGAGGGGGAGAAGGAGACACTGAGAGGGAGATTCGGGGGGGAAGATTGGGTGAGCAGGGGTGACAGGAGTTACATAAGGTGTGATAGGACAGAATGTTCTTTCATGTGCCTTTTCTTGAAGCTTCACTCTCACAGGAATTCACACGTCACCTTGTACAGCGAGTCTTATTATTATTTCCCAAGCACTTTTTTTCTCTCCCTTTTCATGAAGTAGGTCTGCTGCACTTCAACGTGACATACACAAGAGCTAGCTAACAACAATAAGGTGAGATTTGCTGACAGAATGGATCTCGCTGCTGACCGACCGACTCACAAACTTCACATACTGCTGACTGAACAACCAATCCAGCCTTTGAAGTGTGTTTTTTCCCATGATTCTCGGCAGCTCCTTTTTTCTCATATTCTCGACTCTAATAACGAAAACAATTAACATTTCGCACCGTGTTCCATTTGACGTGACCTGTGTGTTTGACATGTCTTTCATGGAACAAAGCCTACGAGAGAGGAGAGGGGAAGGAAGAGATAAGAAGGAGAAAAAGACCTGCTGCGCTGAATATGTCTGACAAAACTGCAAGCCCATTCACACTGACAGGTGGCTGACCTCCTCTGCACATTAGCTACCTTCCACCTCTGACTTCTTCTTTTAAAGCTCAGCTAATATTTAAAAACCACGGCCGTTATGAGTTGTTTCTGCAGGGAAATGGAGGAGAAAAATTATCCATCCATCTTTACATACATGAATATATATTCATATGAGAAAAGGGGGAGATGAAGGGATAAAAGGAGTATAAAGAGGAGGATAAGGAGCAGTACAAGCAACAGGGATAAGAAAGAGATGAAGTAAGTGAGAAAGAGGCGGGCGGGAGAGTCGATGGATGTTGTCAATCAGCCATCGGCTTCTCCATTTGGTGGATTAGTCCTCAAGGCAGCGAGAGGCAGCTCAATACAGACCCCGTCCCCTCCTCTATCCCCTGTCCAGATAATAGCAGGTCTGTATTGACTGCTCCATTGACTGTAACTGGCTGGTGGCTGGTGACTACAGGAGTCATTCCGAGGGCACTGCTGAAATGTCAGATTATGGCAGCGAAAAAAGTTGTTTTATTGGACATACCGCTTTGAATGGATATGGGTGATGAAAAGCTTTGCCTCCTGGCTATACTGCTCTTCACGTAAAGGCTTCCCACACATTAAAGCTCCAGAAAAATCTGTGAGAATATACTTAAAAAGCCACGCGTATACGTCCACTTTTGGAGAGGGATTTATCCCGTAGCCACCTACTGCAAAGGCGCTTATGAGCGGCTTCTTTTCCCAACAAAGAGAGTGAAAGTATCTCTTGCCTTTTACTTTGGTGTCAGTAAAATATTCAGGAGGATACAAACTAAACTTTTGAGAAGGGGAAGTATGTTATTTCTGAGTATTATGTAATTAAATAACTGATACTGTTAAACAGTAATTGTCTAATCTTAGTTTAGCGAACATTACTAGCCACAGCAGGTAGTAAACTTCTCCACATGCTGAAGCGACATGCTTTGGGCTCTGATAAGGTTGGTACTTGGTACTCTGTTTTATTTTATTAACTAAAACTTAAAAATACAAGAGCAAAAGTAAAAGGAATATGTTTAACATTAGCTGCAAACGATAGCATGTCTGGCTAAGTAGCTTACCTACAAGACCAGGGGACGTTCATACTACATTATTTTGTGGGGTTACAGGTTCCACTGTTCAGTTTTTCCTCACTGTGTGGAAGCCGGTCCTGGATGCTAAGAGCATCAGAGTGGGCTCAGCAACCTCAGCCAAACGTTTTATCTGAGCTGGTGTTACGTTCCAAAAACACACTAGTTCTCATTCAAGAAGCCTTACCCCACGCTTTGTTAGAAGGGAAACAAAATACGAGTATAAATCGAACCTCTTTCTAATCCATGTAATTTAAGCAGCTAAACAGCGTTATTGTAATTTTACATTTTTTCTACTACTAGCTGTTTCTTCATTTCCATGTCTTCTACAGGGATCATCAGCATCAAAAAAATCCAAACAAAAAACAAAACATTTTTTTTTTTTTTTAAAGTTAGCTTAATTAGCAAGCTAGCTGCAGCTGCAGCTGAAGCTCTGCGACGACAGTCGTTATTTCAGGCGACACAACTCACAGGCGGCAGCTAAAAATGAGATGTTTGCTTTTGTCTGTCTCTCTCCGATATCAAGAACCTATTGCTTTAAAAACTACTAAGAATTTCAAGTGGTAAATCTACCCTGTTAACACGGCAAAGTTCACATGTGCGCGAACAGAAAGCCTAACAGTAACAAGGGTGACAGGGTTTAGGGATCAGTGAATATACAGAACATTTTAGTTCACGTACTTCAAAATAAGTTCAAGAATCCTTAACCCTTTCTTCCCCAATCAGCAGTGCTCAGACTTTCTTTCCTCCAGCTTTGGCGCCATCACTGTGGGACTGAATTTGACCTAATTTACTTGCAACATTCTGTTAACAACGTTGCTAAATATTATCTGGGTCACATTATCACAGTTTGCATATGTGCTACAAGTATGAATTTTGTTGTAAAAATAGAAGACTGTGACTGACACGAGAAGACATACAAGAGGCAGACGAATTGGGGAGGGGGGGGTTAGTGTTCTTGCAGTAGCAGGCTGAAAAAGTGAAAATTTAAATGATACACTAGTTTAAGCGCCTCAGAAGAAGAAGCCAGTTTCCATCCAAGGTCAAAAAAGCTGTATGAATTAATGCGAAGAGCTTTGAGCAATACTAAAAATACAGCAGCCTATTAGAGGGAAAATAAAGTACAAAGCTGCTATCATTTTGCACAAGATATAAAACCAACCTTACAGTAGCTTTCTACATGACAAAGATCTACAGAATAATATGGCCGGACTTTTATTTGTTCCGTCTGGTCAGTTCTTTACAGAGCTTCAGTGAGTCATACACAGGACGAGGCAGCTCCCATGAGTCATTCAACAGACAATACAGTCATGCCCGAGCATGCCTTTTCAAAATCTGTCTTTGATGAATGAAGAGGCTCAATGATGTCCCTGCAGACACACACACACACACACACACACACACACACACACACACACACACACACACACACACACACACATAAGTCTGCACCTTCAGCTTCATCATGGAGTCCTGGCACAGCTTGTCCCCGCGAGCCGCCGTCACCTCATCAATCCCGATCAGCTTGGCCTTGTACCGCACGCCATCTCCACGGAAACGCTTAATAAGCCCCGCCTCACTGCGGTCCTGACCTGCGGCGGGAGAGAAAGAGAGAAAAAGAGAGAGGACAAAAATAAAGGGGGAGAAAATGAAAAGAGTGATTACAGGAAACAAGGATGTGTGAGCTCAACTGAATCTTACAACTTCAGTATCGTGCCCTGCTTGAGGTATAGAGGCTTCTGTGTGTGTGTGTGTGTGTGTGTGTGTGTGCGCGCGCTTACTGGTATAAATATTTATGGAATAGGAAATTTAGAATGAATAGCAAATTAGCAGCAGCGAGCAAAGATTGAAAGAAGATTGAACCTGAAATTGAAAATGAAGTTGGACTAAAGCCAGTGGACTAAATGAGAAAACAAGTGAAACACTGAGACCACTTTACCATCACCTATTGCAGGGCATTGTGGGGCATTCACACACAAAGCTAGGGTGGAAGGTTACGGGCTGGTTGAGTGGGGGCGCTTACTCCTACGCTTCACCCACGCCCAGAGTTCCCATGGGTGCTATTGGTGGTGACAAACCAGCTTGAATGGCTGCTATTGAGGGGAATCATCTCGGTCCAGCGCTCACCCACAATCCACCATGCCCTCCCTGGGTGATGGATGTTGGGTGGTGGCAGGATGGTGGTGTGAGATCGGGGGGCGTTTGCAAGTGTGTGTCTGGATGGCCTCAGGCTTTAGGCTGTCTTCCCCTCCCTTCTCCCTCCCGTCCCTGTTGCTGATTATTCTGTCTGTCAGTCTCTGCAGCTGCCCCGACACCACCTTGACACCGACACCTTTCTCATTTTGTCTCCGTGCTGTGTGCCGTTGTACTGTTTTGATTATGTCGGCGCGAGCCTCGAGCGCCGTCTTGTGCGTCTACAACCTACAAACCATCCCCTCATAACTTGTGCGGGGTTTGTCAGCTTCAACGCCGACTCCCTCCACATTTACACAAAGAGATAGCAGGATTTCAAATCAAGGTCACCAGCACCTTGGAGAATTTAACAGTTTTCCAGCCCCACTTTGGTCGCTCAATTCTAGGTCACGAGCCCACGCGAGCCCATCAGTTAACGACACATTTAGGTGGCTGGCTAAGCTGCGCATGAGAAGAGGACAAGGTTTAATATCCCTAACAGAGACTGTCAAGCTGCACTCAAAGAGCATATTAAACCAAAATGAGCTTATTCCACCCAGAAACACACGGTATTTCCATCCATACTACATTTCCCCTCGCACAAGTGGAGTTTCTCTTTCCATCCTTGCAATTTCCAAGGAAAAAAAAGAAAAAAGAAAAATCAAAAAGAAAAACTGGAAATTTAGAAAAAGCGTAAATTAACGGGTTTGTGAATATGGGAGGAAAAAAAATGTCTTAGTTCTAATGCAAGCGCTTGTCTTGGCTATGCACACCCTCTCACTAATTCATGAGGGCACAATTCTCTAAAGAGGGGGGGGAGGGCTTGAAGATGCTAAAGTCATTAAAGTCTCTAAGCAAGTGAATGTCAAATCTGGGTCTAATTCAGACTTGTTTCCCTGCCAGAGGATAATGAGTCTTATATACAGCCTGGCGTGCACATAGCAACCGTGTGGAGAAATGAACATTCAGACTTTGATGACAGAGAGACTCAGCGTGGACTCTGCTTTGACATACAGTATATACATGACTGCAGCAGCGCTAAACCGTGCATAACAGATGCAAAGGGAAGGTGGACACCTGCAACGACCGTAGCTATACCTGGTTCGAACCACCCCCTCGTACAGTGGCTGCAGTCAGCTCATACAGTATTATGTATTCCATCCTGATTTTACTGACTCATACACTCTGTAATGTAATGTAAAATGCATGCTGCTCCAGTTGCATTTTAAACACGATCAGACCAATTCAGTGCAGCTCTCTCAGATGAGCTTTAACCAGATGTTCTGTGCCATTTGTTTCTTTACATACAGCGTGCCATTTCCCCTAATAACACTTCAGGAGAGATTTAGAGGTTTATGCACAGATCCTCAAAAAAAAAAAAAAGTAGGCCTTGCATACCGAATGAGAGTCTTGACACAGTGGCATAACTTGTACACTACGTGCTCTGGGTTCAGATCAAGACGAGCCGAGTGTGCTGTATTTGAAAACTAAAGAGCTGCGGGGCATGCTGTTTCATGTTGTTACACACTGTAGGAAAGGAGAAGAGAGAGGGAGAAAGTGTGTGTGTGTGTGTGTGTGTATAGAGGGGTGACACATATTCCTCTGGCTTTCTGGATTAACAATTACCCAAGGTTGAAATGTCCTCACAACATTTCTGGCCCATGATCCTGATGCTCACAATTTGTCTGACAGAGGGTTTTTGCCTAAAGTATTGTCTTCTGTTAATCTGCATCTAAGGATATCCTACACAATGTACAACATGCCCGCCATTTGCGAGACTGGGGTGCATGCATCCCGTGTTAGAGTCTTTCTTACATCTCTCTCCTCCTCATTTTTTCCTGTTGCCCTCATTTTTCCGCCGAGCTATTAAGACAATTAATTAAATGCCATGAAATAGTGAATTCTTCAGAAACGGAGCAGGGAATTAACAGCCAGGATGTCGGAGGGTGGGGGGGGTTCATATCAAACGCTACAATCCCCCACCTGACACACACAGGCCTTGCACCAGGACCATGGAGAGAACAATTACTGCTAGCCCTGCTCCATACTGTTTCAGGGCTCGTGTCTGATCACAGTGTTGCATCCTCCCTCCTTGCCGCACTAGAATGGGGACAGTGAAGGGACAGATGGCAACAGATGGAGAGTCAGAAGTGCCCCTCCAGATATAAGGACTTGGCAACAAGAAACTTTTTGTTGGGGGATCCGGGCATCGAGGCAGCTTAACCTTTGGACCTTTCTGAGTGTGTATCTGTGTCTGCCTGTCTCGCTCCGTCAATGTCCCTGTCAGTGGGACACACGCCGTCTATTTAGCAATAATGAGAGTACAGTGATGCGCACTGAGCCATACTTTCACCTACATGCAGTGTGCAATATTAACAATTATTTTATGCGTCTCTGCACAGGACATTTGAAATCCCTAAAATGAAAACGCTAGGTATGTCGTCCTGTCAGCGCAGGGGGGGCTGATGACTTTAAGCAGTAGTAAAGAGAATGGGCGTCTGAGTAAGCCGAATCTGTCCCCGCCATCTGCCTCCCTCATGTGCACAAAATACTTTTCATAAGCCTCAGCAAACACACAGATACACATTTACAAACATTAAAGACGGCACGTGTTCGCTTGTCCAAACCCACACTCGAGTCAAAAATCCCTCTACCCAACTTTGGCGCTAGACACCAGGTAAAGGTTTTGGCTAAATGGCTGATCGTTAGAGCGGTTATAGGATTAATGAGGGGCATTGTGCACATCATCAATGCGGCGGACAGACCATTGACTCGCTGCAGAGTTACATGCAGGTATTGATGTGCGCTGGGTGGGGATGGGGGAGATCGTTGTTTGGTTAGGGGCTCCACTCTGTTATTAGCACGCTGATGGTGAAGCAGTGCGATGAAACTGTTGGATAAGCATACCGACAAATGATTTGGTCAAATATGGGGAACAGTGTTTGACCGGGGTGAAATGGTTAGTATTTGTGCTGCACCTTCAGCACAGGAGGTGACGGGTGATTTAATCTGCTGTTTGCCTCTTTCTGTGTCTGTTTGCTGTGTCTCTGTCCTCTCTCTCTCTCTCTCTCTCTCCCTCTCTCTGTCAATGTCTCGCTGTCCTCCGTTCCATGTCTTTTTCTCTTTCTTTTTTTTTTAAATGAATCATTTTTTGTGCACAGATTATAGTGGGAGAGCAACAGTTGCTATGGAGATGGAGTAAAGTCACGCATGTAAAGCAATTCTGTCGATGGGTAGAAGGGAGCTTGGGCTTTACAATGGGAGTCAGAGTTTGCTGCAGTGAGGTTTGATATTTCCAAATGGTTTTTAAACCAGTGACAATTGGAAATGCTATGACATCCACAAGGTAGTGTGTCCAGTACGTCCTGTTACCATAATATTGGGTGTCACGGCTTTTATATTTACTACCATAAACGGTCTACTTTCTTCTGAAATGCACGACGAGCCGAGAATGCATTAAAAGATTAGAGTGACGACTGCCTATATTCTTCTTATTGTCAACAACCCCCAACCAACATTTACGTTCAAGTGACAAAGCCCTCCAGTGGCCGCTGTTATCATCAGCAAAAGAGGAAGTCAGGTGATGTTGTTATATGGCGACAAAATCAGCGAAGGCAGGAGGTCGCGGCAGATGGCTCAGTCGACAAAACATTGGGCTTTAACAGTGGGAGGTGCTGTAAATAGTCACTAAAGCACTAAATATCTATTAATCCCCAGATGAAAATAGTCCCCCAAAAATTCACTATTTACACCGGCATATATTGTTCCATTTGAAAAACGAAAGAATATATTTGAAAAGATTTACGTCGTCAGTAGGAGTGGGTGGGTTTGGGCTTGAGTGTTACTGACACGGTATGAAGCTCATTTTAGTATTAAGAGGCAGATTTACACGTTGCTGGTTTCGGTCGTTTCATGGGATTCGTTGATAAGAGGAAAATAACAGCAGCCTTATCCTTTAAATCACATCATTTTGTTCTGCTGCTTCCCACCCATATGAATATAGAGAGATCTTTGTCTTAATGTACTGCATGTCATCAACCCCATCCTCAATGGCGTCCTTCACCTGGCCCCAGCCTGCTCACCACCACCACTGGCTGTGCTGCCTGACAGTCTGCATGCATTTACGCTGCCACATTTCCATTTATATGGATCTAAATAGCATCTTTGCTGATTGTGACAATGGTCCCTGCAGCACATGTGATTAACATGGTAAAGTCGGGGGCTGATAGCCTGTGCTGATAGCCCCCTCCGATGAGCCGCATGGCCACGTGTGTAATAGCCCCCTTGCTCCGCTCTCCCCCCTCCACTTAACTCAAATCGATGGGCCCTCCTCCAGCCCGGCCATTTATCTGAGCAAGCCGACAGAGCCAGTGAAACAGCCACAGAGGACCTGGCCCCGTGGCCTCGTTACAGCCAGCCTGCAGAAGCCAGATTTACTGGACTAGCTGGAGTGGCTTTACTCATGGATGGAGAGATGAGGGGAAAAAAAAAAGAAAAAAGGATGAGGAAAGGAAAAAGCATCCTCTTCGTACACACTTTCTTCCCTCTCCCTGTGATTTTTCCTCGTTCTGCGTCTCTATCTCCTCTTCTTTCCTCCTCTCAGCCAATTCAATCCCATTTCAATCTCCCGGTGAACGTTCGGAGAATGCCTCGTCCTATTACATCACTTATGCTGTTCATCAAAGCGACAGGGTGTGAATTACCCTGTCCATGACACCTAAATCATGGCACTACCAAACCCTGGGGCTACGCGGAATAGCTGTTACTACATTTGGATCCCTGGGATGAGACGGGGGGCCTCTCGGTGGGCTCGCCTGACTGAAGCTCCCAGCATTATTTAGCTCCATCCAAACATGGCTTAAAGTTATGTTCACTGCCTGCCAAACACGAGAAAGCTGCCCTTTCCCCATTTTGTCTTCTTCATGTAACTGGTTGTCTGTGGAGTACTGTTCCCTCAACATTATATATATATATATATATATAAAAAATCAGGCTTTTTTTCCCTTAATACAGCGAATTACACATGCCCCATGAGCTGAATATTTCACATAGATCTACACGCAGAATTATTGTCGCAGGTAGATTCTCACGTACCTTTGATCCTCCTGGACTCCTTTCGCTGGCTGGTTTTGACACCCGGCTGGAGCTCGGCCTCTGCTGACATCCTCCACTGCTGAGTCCCTTGTCCTGCTCACAGCAGATCCACCATGGGTTAGCAGCACACTAGCTAATCCTCCCAACTCCCAGTGTCCGATTCCCCCGGTCCCGTCTTTTCTCACAGTCGCTCTTTGGTGGAGAAAATCTCCTTCGAATCCATGGCGAGACGTCTGGTACTCCTCAATAAATGAAGATCCAGCATAGATAGCTACGCTCCTTCACTGTTTGCCCATGGTGTCCGGGTATTGCTAGACAACACATGAAAAGATGATTGAATTATGAACTGGGCGATCCTCTCGAGAGTAGCTTCAGATCAGAATTGACATCTTCTGGAGTGTACCTGAGTTCTCTCCGTGAAGGTCAAGTATCACATGGTCCAGTGTTGCTCTTTTCTGAGGGTCCACCTATTGCTCAGGTGTAATTCCCCCCAGGGGAGACTGCAACATTGATTGAATCAAATATTGTTCTTCACAGTAGGTCAGGAGTGGATATTATTCTTTGGTAGAGCACTTCAGATGCAGTCCGACAGCCCATCACAGTCACTTGCTCCGAGCGCTGCAAGGCAAGAAGACAGGGATGACATTTAATGTTACCCTGGAGGTTGGTTAAAAATTAAAATGACAAACACATACCCTTTGATCACTCATTACAACATTAATTTAACATACAGAATGGCAGGCACCAATTTAACAGATCAACAAAGATGTTATTATCTCTTCTGGATCATCAATCCTTAATGAGACTGCAGAAGACGCTTGCTGTTCAGCGCCCACCCTTGAAGGAGACCTGTGGCGAAATATTTGACGCTCTTGTTTTATGTAGTGCTTGTGAGTAAATATAGAACATTAAAGCATGACCGGTGCTTCTGTGCATGCAAAGCAAATCTTCAGAAGATGGATTGTTAACGCTCCCAGCTCAAGCCAACAGCACGAGAGGAGGGGAAGTAGCAGAGAGCGATGAATGACGGGCTGTTTCAAAGCAAACTGTGGTGGGAATCCTGGCGCAGCCGTCTATAAACTAACCCCCCTCCCCACATTGTACTTTAATGCCCTTGAAACATCTACTGCTAACACGGGGGCCATGCCAAACTGGCACAGTGGCTGGCACCGCTTCTGTTGGCATGGTGACGGCCCATTGTTGGAGAAAGAGGCCTTCAGCCTACCGTGGCCTGAAAAGAGCTGCTGCACATCGAACACCGGGCACACATTATCCTGTGTGACATTGTATGACATTGTGAGTGTCTGTAATGAGAGTGAGTAGATAAATAATGTTATTTTCAAATGTATTTAAGACACAAACAAACAAACAAACAAACAGAGAAGAAATCTCAGGTCTGTTTTTGCACTCCCTGTTTATTTTGCTTAAAAATGCCAAAATCCAGAGTGCACAGACGTTACCTGTAGCTGGCTCACAGCGCACACACCACCAGTGTTTGTATGTAGCGTGTGCTTGTGCATGTGTCAGCGTTTCGTCTGACCTCAGACCTCATCACAAACCCCTGTTCTTTCTATGAGCTTCTTCCAGTTTCTTCCCACTTAGTATTATCCATGAATTTTTACATTTTAACAAGTCACACCCACACTGTCGTCTCAGTTCACGTCACCCAGGGTGAAGTTTGCGTACACTTGAATCTTTCCACTTCGAATACAATTGCACCACCTCTAACATTCACTTCACATTCAGCACTACATGAGTCTGTGGTTCGGTCTCATATCGTTACACAAACCTTTGGGGGAAAGACATCAAACATTACTAAGCCTAGAATGATACAAAGCTCGCCCCGGTCTGAAAGCAATGTTTAAATACAAATTACACATATTGTGACTTACAAAGTGCCGAGGCCACAAGTGGAGCTTCACGGCTGGATATCACCACATGGAAGTGACAAAATATGTTGTTGTTTTTGTAATATAGGTGAAACAAACATTTAATTGAGACATTTTTCAGCATGCAGAGCTTTGTGCAGTCTTTTATATATATATATATATATATATGCATAAAACAGCGGCATGTGCCTCCTCTCCTTCCTGCAGACAAGTCCTTCAACTCTCACAAGCTGTGATGTTAAGACACATTTCATTTCCTTGAACAACAGGTCAGTGCGGTTACCTCATCACCTCTGGTTCTCCTTGTGCATGGCTGTCTAGACTCTAGACCATGTGTCACCCCACATGTGTGCTTATGAGGCAGATAATGACGCCCAGGTCCAGGCAAAGGGGCAATCTCCCCATAAGTATGTCTCAGACAGAGCCGTAGAGTGTCAGCGACGGCAGAGGTATTTTCCATGTCACAAAGAACCTTATCAGAATGTAATTTTCATTACCAACGAGGGAGATATGCCTCATTGTATTAGACGGAAGAGCGATTTAATGTGATGTACGGCTGCTTTTCAAAACCAATGCTATCTAGGTCACCCAGACTCCCCAATCTGCTCCGTGTTTTAACAGCTCCCAGTGTCTCTTATGATTTGGGTCAGAGTTAAAGAGCATCACTCGTTTCTCTAGCTACTCTCAACTGTTAGAGGATGTCAAAAAGCCCTCAACAAAAGCCACCCTTTATTTATTAATTTGTTCATTTTAGTACTACCTCTCTCAAGTGCAAAGGAAAACTTCCTTGAGGGAAGTCAATTTCATTTCTGCTTGGCTTTCTTTATTTCCCTCCATCAACCTGCCGCTCTCTTTGTCTCTGTCTGTCTGAATATCACAAATCATCTCTAGAGATGTTTGTTTCCTGCTTGAGTCTTTACCCTGTAACCGCATTATTGAACAAAAACAGGCATGCTGTGAGAAAACCTGATGTATGGCAACTCTCTCTTCCTTAACATTAAGCACATCAATCATGCAAGCCATTGATTTTTCAGGAGAGGAGTGTGAGTGTGTACATTCACAAGGTGAACTAGACCCCCTTGGCAATATGCAGGTACATATATCTTGTCATACGGCTTCAGTGCATTGGGATGAGATGTGATCTGAATCCTTCTCATGAGGGGAAACCATTCTTTCTGTGCTGTTTTGATCAGTTTGTCATAGAGCTGTCTATTAACCTTTAGTGTGCTGAAGTACAGGTCAATCAAAACACTCCTCACACGTTACATACAAATTATATATTGGTATCACAATGAACAAGATGAGGTCAAAACCTAATATGTGGCTGGAGGGCGTCGTAGGCTATTTGCATTCTGCCTGGTGTCAGCTGGTTTCAGCCCTTTATCTATTTGCTTCTCTCCTACTCTCTGTGCTCACAGATACAGTATTTTAATAGAGTCGAATTCCCAATAAAGCTGCTCTCATTTACATGTTTTTCTGTTTATGTCGTCAGACAAGGGAACAATTATGACATAGTGGCTGAAACCCCGCTCATTAAGACTACATGTTAACCAGCAGTCACTCACAAGCTGCTGCTCCTGAAATCTTGATTTTATAACCACAACATCGTCTGACAAAAGGCAGCAAACACATAAGTTAAAGACGACGAGTGTGCCGTGATTTCAGTTATATTCACTTGTAAAATGATAAACCAGAGAGAAAGTTAGAAGCTTAATTTACATCAGCTGCCGTGCGGTCAGCATAGAGAGGTGAGTCTGTGGAGGGAAAGCCCGACCTCGCACTTGTGGGGAAATACTAATGATTTTCCTCTAAAGAAAGTAGCAAAGGTTTGTCCAAAAAGTCATGTGATGATTTAGTTATGTGCCTTTTGGAAAAAAATGCACTAAAAACGGGTCTGAAAAGAAATCTAAAGACAAAGGCGTAAAGTTGGAAACACTGATTATTCGCGCCAAAAGAGCAGTGACCAATGCTGTAACTTCGTCACTCACTCAGTCAGTGATATTCCCGTTCATAGACCCCTGCTGTTGCGGTCCAGTTAAAAATCACATATACAGTATTGTTACTGCTTTCAGTTCTTTATAATTATGTAATTAATTCATGCACAATACAATAAGGAACTTGCTTGCTTTAAAATAAAAACTATCATTTAGAATTGGATTTTTATTAAAGGGAAACAAAAGGCAGTAATCTCCAACAATTATATTGAGTTTTCGCTCTCAATGGAAGAAAATGATTCATTAAGTGTGATCAGATTTTCAGTCATGTTTACCGTCTCACAGATATAATGGGCAATCACTGAACCAGTGTTGAAATCAGATCATTCTTGAGATTCTTTTAAGCTCCAGCATTGCAGTAACTAACACTTCCTCCTGAGACTGATGTTTAATAGACTGCACAATCAACCTCATATTGTGAGACAAGCGTCCTGCATCCTGCTGCCGATGAGTAACAAAGGTTGAACAGCCATCTATCACTGGATATGGCCAATTACACCTCCATTCACTGCGGTCCCGACGGAAGGCGCAGTCTGTGCTCTCCAGCTTGCATGTGACTGCTGAGGAGCGGGGAGGCCCCGGACCATCTCCGTCTCTTCCTGGCCAAGGCTGGCATGGCCCAGGGCTGGTGGAAGGTTTGTTCGACAGACTGGCTTTGGCACCTCGCGCTGGTCATCTTTGTTACAAAATTCCCCCCAGCTTATGGAGTGGGACACAACTGTCACAACCTCGCCTCGCAAAGCTCCTCTAAATAGTCCTGCTGTGTTACCTTGTGTCACCTATGGCAGTGAGGGCCCACCAGCTACTGCTATAACCTGTCTATGCCTTTAATCTGTGTTGTTGTGAAATGTTATATTTTTCAGGGGTTGGACTTTTTCTTTTTTAAATTCTCCATCAGCTCTTATCGCAGCCTCAAAATCAACATTAAGTCGTCTCATGTGGCCTTACAAGTGGCTGATAGCCCTTGAATCTAAGATAAGGTTAATTTGCTTTTGTTGGACTAATTAGATTTCTGACTAGCTAGTGATTGAATGGCATATGGTTCTTTGGGGGAATGCTGGAATCTATTAACATTTCTGACCATACGATTCAGCAGGTTAATCATGTTGCACACAGTCATGGCAAGCTGTAAGGCCACAGAGACACGGAAAATATGCAAATGTACCATAACAAGACGATACGTAGGC